ATTTGTAATACATTTGCAAACATTTCTAAAAACCTATTTTTGCTTTGTCATTACGGGGTATTGTGTGTAGATTGATGAGGGGAAAAAATGATTTAATCCATTTTAGGGTAAGGATGTAACTTAACAAAATGTGGAAAAGGTCAAGGGGTCTGAATACTTTCTGAATGCACTGTATAGACAATATGGTGCCTTTTAAGACGAAGTCACATTCTGGATCAACAACACAAATATATATCATATAAATATTGTTATATTAGACCAATCTGTTATGTAAATAATATACAATACATTCATTGGATTTATGAGGAATTTCCATGAACCAAAAATAACTAAAACACACATTAAGAATAAATACATTAAGATAAAATCGCCATCTTGAAAAGAAAAACAGGAAATGGATCTAAGACCACTGGAAGAAGGAGGCAGATGACTGGACTTCGCAGGTCAGTGTGGTTCAGTCTTAGACTTCAACCAGTGTGTCACAACATAAATACATGAATACATTCAGAACAAAAGACTAACATGCTGTGCAAGACTATTTCACCATATTCCTGATTATCAACATATTGACTTTTCATACATTAATGTTCAATCTAGTGCTGAAGCGGAGCAGTCTTTTGTGTGTGTGTTTGTGTGTGAGCATCCGTGTTTGTCTGTGTCCATCCATGTGTGCATCACTCTAGCACTGTGCCAGAGCCAGCAGTGAGAGTGATAGGGAACATTAGGACCTTAGCCTTCATGAAGGACAGGTCAGCCAGCCCACAGATCACCCTGGCTGCCTCCTCACTCAGCTGTTCCTCTTCATCCTTATGGGGTTTCCTGACACACACACACACACACACACAGGTAACACACACACACAGGTAACACACACACACACAGGTAACACACACACACACACACACAGGTAACACACACACACACAGGTAACACACACACACAGGTAACACACACACACACAACACATTAAAGATGGGACACACAGAGGCGGCATTTGATTGCAGGTGAGTTTCCCCCCTTTCCATGCAAAACTCTTTCAGCCCTGGCAAAGCACTATATAAATCCAATCAATTATGCTTGATTATCAATTATTGATCTCTAAGGGTGTGTGTGTGTGTGTGTGTGAGTGTCAGTCTGACCTGGTGGAGGTAGTGGTGATCTCCATGGTAGACATGAGGTGGTTCAGGGTGTCTGCTAGACGTCTGCTGGGGTCACTGGCTAGCTCTGGATCCACCCCTTCACACACACACACACACACACACACACACACACACACACACGATACGTAGACACACACAATACGTATGTACACACACATTGTACCTACACTGTAGTAACCATGTAATTACTGCCCACCAATGTAACTTCCATGTTCATAGATACCAATGTACACTTGTTTAGTGTGTGTGCATGTATGTGTGTATATGTGTGATGTGTGTGTGAGTGTGTGTGCGCAAGTGTGTGTATATCAATGTTCATTTCGTCAACAAAAACTGACTAAGATATTCATCAAACACCTATTTTTCAGTGCCAATTATGTATGTTTTTGCATGCGTGAGTGGCCCAAAGATACCAAGATCCAGCCCTGAGGGACCTCTGCTCTCTACAGGGACAAGAGGGAGGGAGGTGAAGTGGGAAACATAGGAGTAGGGTGAAGATGCCCCTAGTTGCATTTTCCCCACTAATGGTTAAGGTTGGGGCGGGGAAGCTGATCCTAGATCTGTACTTAGGGGAAACTTCACCCCAGACTGTTACATCCTGTACACCTGTGTTTCCCAATCCCTCATCGGTCTACGAGCTTCTGGCAGTTAGTTAGCGGATGCTAATACAAGCAGCGCTCACATTCTGGACTTTGTTTAGAGTTCAAAACAAAAAAGACGACCATAACACGTCCGTCTCTGGTCCAAATCAAGGTTGAGAAACGGAGGTGTACAAACAACTAGCAAGTGGTGAAGAAACCATCATGCAATTGGTTCTTCAGCACAGTGGGTGGCAGTATAGCTCTAGAACATGAGTCTACAGAACAGAGGAAAGCAGCATAGAGTTGGATAGAGGGCTCTTCCTTACATCTTTGCCATAATTGCTTCTGTGACAGCATGGGCAGCGCTATTGAGGGCTTTCTCAATTTTACTTAAATTAGTTAATTGACAGCCTGTAAACAAACTGAAAGGGTTTGCATACTGCCTCCTGGAGTGTGTTGTCTGAACAGGCATTAAGGTCAAGGTGGGTGATTTACTGCCACATCCAGGTATGGAATGTTTGCTCAGGAGTAGAATTCATTGGCAGATCCTGCTGACCTGGACGGAATTCTGTGATCCTTATTTATCCTATAGATATTCACACCCAGTTGACTGCTTCATAATGGTGAAAGACCTCAAATGGCACTGCCCATGTTAAACCAGGATGTGGCACATCAATCCATGTCTATGGAGGAAAGTAGTCAGTGCAGTGATAGAAAAGCCAGAGAAAACCAAGAGGCAGGACAGCTCAGATAGGTGTAATATATTAGAAAAGAGGTTTATTCACGTATTTACAACAGTGTTTATTGCAACCACACTCAAAGAACCTTAAAGCATCTCATTGGTTTGGGGAATCTAAAAATAAATAATAAAAACACATACAAGCTAAATCAAAATGTATTTTTTTTGCAGATAGTGTTTATACAGTGCATTCGGAAAGTATTCAGAGCCCTTGACTTTTTCCACATTTTGTTACAGCCTTATTCTAAAATGGATTAAATGAGAGAAAAAAATCCTCATCAATTTACACAAAATACCCCATAATGACAACGTGAAAACAGGTTTTTAGAAATGTTAGCTAAATTATTACAAATAAAAAACAGAAATACCTTATTTACATAAGTATTCAGACCCTTTGCTATGAGACTCGAAATTGAGCTCAGGTGCATCCTGTTTCCATTGATCATCCTTGAGATGTTTCTACAACTTGATTGGAGTCCACCTGTGGTAAATTCATTTGATTGGACATGATTTGGAAAGGCACACACCTGTCTATATAAGGTCCCACAGTTGACAGTGCATGTCAGAGCAAAGACCAAGCCATGAGGTCGAAGGAATTGTCTGTAGAGCTCCGAGACAGGATTGAGACAGGATTGTGTCGAGGCACAGATCTGGGGAAGGGTACCAAAAAATTTCTGCAACATTGAAGGTCCCCAAGAACACAGTGGCCTCCATCCTTCTTCAATGGAAGAAGTTTGGAACCACCAAGACTCTTCCTAGAGCTGGCCGCCCTGCCAAACTGAGCAATCGGGGGAGAAGGGCCTTGGTCAGGGAGGTGACCAAGAACCCGATGGTCACTCTGACAGAGCTCTAGAGTTCCTCTGTGGAGATGGGAGAACCTTCCAGAAGGACAACCATCTCTGCAGCACTCCACCAATCAGGCCTTCATGGTAGAGTGGCCAGACGGAAGCTACTCCTCAGTTAAAGCCACGACAGCCCGCTTAGAGTTTGCTAAAAGGCAAACCTAAAGGCAAACCTACAGACTCTCAGACCATGAGAAACAAGATTCTCTAGTCTGATGAAACCAAGATTGAATTCTTTGGCCTGAATGCCAAGCGTCACGTCTGAAGGAAACCTGGCACCATCCCTACGGTGAAGCATGATGGTGGCAGCATCATGCTGTGGGGATGTTTTTCAGCAGCTGGGACTGGGAGACTTGTCAGGATCGGGGGAAAGATGAACGGAGCAAAGTAAAGAGATAGTTGATGAAAACCTACTCCAGAGTGCTCAGGACCTCAGACTGTGGTGAAGGTTCACCTTCCAACAGGACAACAACCCTAAGCACACAGCCAAGACAACGCTCCCCATCCAACCTGACAGCGCTTGAGGATCTGCAGAGAACAATGGGAGAAACTCCCCAAATACAGATGTGCCAAGCTTGTAGCGTCATGCACAAGAAGACTCGAGGCTGTAATCGCTGCCAAAGGTGCTTCAACAAGGTACTGAGTAAAGGATCTGAATACTTATGTAAATGTAAATAAATACTTTAAAAAATATTTCCATTTGCAATTTTTTATCAATTTGCTAAAATTTCTAAAAATCTATTTTTTGCTTTGTCATTATGGGGTATTTTGTGTAAATTGATGAGGGGAAAAAAACAATTTAATCAATTTTAGAACAAGTCTGTAGCGTAACAAAATGTGGAAAAAGTCAAGGGGTGTGAATACTTTCCGAATGCATTGTATATCACAGTGATTGTAAAGATCAGTTTCAATTTACTGAATATATACGTCCTCTTTATTTTATAAAGAAAATGAAAAGTAAAGATACAGAAGAATATAAGAGAACACAGAATAGCAGCTTAAACAGAAAACAGTAAGAGGATCCTGGCTTTCTCTAACCTGGGTAACAGTAAGATGATCCTGGCTTTCTCTAGCCTGGGTACCAGTAAGAGGATCCTGGCTTTCTCTAGCCTGGGAACTAGTAAGACGATCCTGGCTTTCTCTAACCTGGGAACTAGTAAGATGATCCTGGCTTTCTCTAACCTGGGAACTAGTAAGATGATCCTGGCTTTCTCTAGCCTGGGTACCAGTAAGAGGATCCTGGCTTTCTCTAGCCTGGGTACCAGTAAGAGGATCCTGGCTTTCTCTAACCTGGGAACTAGTAAGATGATCCTGGCTTTCTCTAACCTGGGAAATAGTAAGATGATCCTGGCTTTCTCTAACCTGGGTAACAGTAAGAGGATCCTGGCTTTCTCTAACCTGGGAACTAGTAAGATGATCCTGGCTTTCTCTAACCTGGGTACCAGTAAGAGGATCCTGGCTTTCTCTAGCCTGGGTACCAGTCTGTTTGTGCTAATATTCCACTCCATGTCATGTCAAACATCATTTTTGGCGTATGACAAAGTACAAGGAGTGGAATGTTAGTACAAAACAGGTCTGGATTTGAGGCTTTTTCGCAAGAGCTTATTTCTACTACGACCTCCTCACTGGGGCAAAATGAACGTACTGGGGGGATTCACTTTAGGCTATGGCAACACATTCATCTATATGGCTTGACTTGTCTTTGCCTGATTCCCCCCACTAATACTGAAAGAACTGTTGCCCAGAGCAATAAGAAACAGTGTTTGGATCAATGATGATGGGCAACAACAAGTGAGAAACCTCATCAGCATCACTCTATACAGGGCAGATGAGGTAGCCGGTAAGTTAGACGTATAGAGAGCGCCTTGGGATTCCACAGTATAAGATACCATTGAAGGTAAAGGGAAAGAGTTGTACCATCTAGAGGGAGACATCAATGTGAAGAGAGGAGCAGAGGAGAGTGGGAGAGAGGGAGAGGAGGGAGAGAGAGGGAGAGAGAGGGAGAGAGTGAGAGGAGGGAGAGGAGGGAGAGAGAAAGAGGAGGGCGAGAGAGGGTGAGAGGAGGGAGAGAGTGAGAGGAGGGAGTGATAGAGACTATGTTCCAAAGTCCACACTTACATACCACTTACGTAGAATGCATGCCCAACACATTGCTTTATTATAAGTGGTATGCTAGTGTGGACAACGGAACCAAAGAGAGAAACAGGTGTCAGGGCCTGTATTCACAAAGAGAGAGAGAAACAGGTGTCAGGGCCCGTATTCACAAAGAGAGAGAGAAACAGGAGTCAGGGCCCGTATTCACAAAGAGAGAGAGAAACAGAAGTCAGGGCCTGTATTCACAAAGAGAGAGAGAAACAGGAGTCAGGGCCCGTATTCACAAAGAGAGAGAGAAACAGGAGTCAGGGCCCGTATTCACAAAGAGAGAGAGAAACAGGAGTCAGGGCCCGTATTCACAAAGAGAGAGAGAAACAGGTGTCAGGGCCCGTATTCACAAAGAGAGAGAGAAACAGGAGTCAGGGCCCGTATTCACAAAGAGAGAGAGAAACAGGAGTCAGGGCCCGTATTCACAAAGAGAGAGAGAAACAGGAGTCAGGGCCCGTATTCACAAAGAGAGAGAGAAACAGGTGTCAGGGCCCGTATTCACAAAGAGAGAGAGAAACAGGAGTCAGGGCCCGTATTCACAAAGAGAGAGAGAACGGAGTCAGGGCCCGTATTCACAAAGAGAGAGAGAAACAGGAGTCAGGGTCTGTATTCACAAAGAGAGAGAGAAACAGGTGTCAGGGCCCATATTCACAAAGTGTCTCAGAGTAGTAGCAGGGCGAGTGGAGAGAAAGGTAGAAGCTGAGACGGAGGAGGAGAGGAAGGTAGAAGCTGAGACGGAGGAGGAGAGGAAGGTAGAAGCTGAGACGGAGGAGGGAGAGAAGGTAGAAGCTTAGACGGGAGGAGGAGAGGAAGGTAGAAGGCTGAGACGGAGGAGGATAGGAAAGGTAGAAGCTGAGACGGAGGAGGAGAGGAAGGTAGAAGGCTGAGACGGAGGAGGAGAGGAAGGTAGAAGCGAGACGGAGGAGGAGAGGAAGGGTAGAGCTGAGACGGAGGGGAGAGGAAGGTAGAATCTGAGACGGAGGAGGAGAGGAAGGTAGAAGCTGAGACGGAGGAGGAGAGAAAGGTAGAAGCTGAGACGGAGGAGGAGAGGAAGGTAGAAGCTGAGACGGAGGAGGAGAGGAAGGTAGAAGCTGAGACGGAGGAGGAGAGGAAGGTAGAAGCTGAGACGGAGGAGGAGAGGAAGGTAGAAGCTGAGACGGAGGAGGAGAGGAAGGTAGAAGCTGAGACGGAGGAGTAGTGTGTGTAAAGCAGCGTAGAGTGGACAGCAGCCTCATCTCTGGCCCTGGAGGTAGTGGGCTCAGCGGGGGGACGTACCATCCAGAGGGTTGATGCCAAGGCCACTGCTGCTCCAGTCAAACTGGGACCAAGGCTGGGGGGCCCCCTGCTGGCGGAAGGAACAAACTGCAGTGAGGCTCAGCGTTGTGCCCTCTATTCAACACGGTCTCTTGAAGGCCCATACTCACAAAATAACATCAGAGAAAGGGATGCTGATCTGGGATCAGGTCCCCCTGGTTCATGAAATCTTATTCATTATGAGCTAAAAGACTAAACTGATCCTAGATCAGCACTCCTACTCTGAGACTGAGACTCTTTGTGAATACGGCCAGGTCTTAGTGATGGATAGAGGACAGCACAGAGGAATTGGGAGTTGGTAGTAAGTTAGTCCAGGGTCAGATATTGTCATTATCCTCCTAATGCTAAGGTTAGGATATCTGATCCTAGGTCAGTGTTTAGGGTAACTTCATTATCGAGGGAGGAATTGACTCACTATCATCCATTGAAAAATGTTGCCCTGTGTGTGTGTTGGGTGTACTGTGTGAGCCACGGGCTATCTGGAGACGTTACCAACTGTCACATCCTAGCCACGGGCTATCTGGAGACGTTACCAACGGTCCCATCCTAGCCACGGGCTATCTGGAGACGTTACCAACGGTCACATCCTAGCCACAGGCTATCTGGAGACGTTACCAATGGTCACATCCTAGCCACAGGCTATCTGGATACGTTACCAACTGTCACATCCTAGCCACAGGCTATCTGGAGACGTTACCAGCTGTCACATCCTAGCCACAGGCTATCTGGAGACGTTACCAGCTGTCACATCCTAGCCACAGGCTATCTGGATACGTTACCAGCAGTCCCATCCTAGCCACAGGCTATCTGGATACGTTACCAGCGGTCCCATCCCAGCCACAGGCTATCTGGATACGTTACCAACTGTCACATCCTAGCCACAGGCTATCTGGAGACGTTACCAACGGTCACATCCCAGCCACAGGCTATCTGGAGACGTTACCAACTGTCACATCCTAGCCACAGGCTATCTGGAGACGTTACCAACGGTCACATCCTAGCCACAGGCTATCTGGAGACGTTACCAACGGTCACATCCTAGCCACAGGCTATCTGGATACGTTACCAACGGTCACATCCTAGCCACAGGCTATCTGGAGACATTACCAACTGTCACATCCTAGCCACAGGCTATCTGGAGACATTACCAACGGTCACATCCTAGCCACAGGCTATCTGGAGACATTACCAACGGTCACATCCTAGCCACAGGCTATCTGGAGACGTTACCAACGGTCACATCCTAGCCACAGGCTATCTGGATACGTTACCAACGGTCACATCCTAGCCACAGGCTATCTGGAGACGTTACCAACGGTCCCATCCTAGCCACAGGCTATCTGGATACGTTACCAACGGTCACATCCTAGCCACAGGCTATCTGGAGACATTACCAACTGTCACATCCTAGCCACAGGCTATCTGGAGACGTTACCAACGGTCCACATCCTAGCCACAGGCTATCTGGAGACGTTACCAACGGTCCCATCCTAGCCACGGGCTATCTGGAGACGTTACCAACGGTCCCATCCTAGCCACGGGCTATCTGGAGACGTTACCAGCAGTCCCATCCTAGCCACAGGCTATCTGGAGACGTTACCAGCAGTCCCATCCTAGCCACAGGCTATCTGGAGACATTACCAACTGTCACATCCTAGCCACGGGCTATCTGGAGACGTTACCAACGGTCCCATCCTAGCCACAGGCTATCTGGATACGTTACCAACTGTCACATCCTAGCCACAGGCTATCTGGATACGTTACCAACGGTCACATCCTAGCCACAGGCTATCTGGATACGTTACCGAGTACGGGTCACATCCTAGCCACAGGCTATCTGGATACGTTACCAGCGGTCCCATCCCAGCCACAGGCTATCTGGATACGTTACCAACTGTCACATCCTAGCCACAGGCTATCTGGATACGTTACCAGCGGTCACATCCTAGCCACAGGCTATCTGGATACGTTACCAGCGGTCCCATCCCAGCCACAGGCTATCTGGATACGTTACCAACGGTCACATCCTAGCCACAGGCTATCTGGAGACGTTACCAACGGTCACATCCTAGCCACAGGCTATCTGGAGACGTTACCAACTGTCACATCCTAGCCACAGGCTATCTGGATACGTTACCAACGGTCACATCCTAGCCACAGGCTATCTGGATACGTTACCAACGGTCACATCCTAGCCACAGGCTATTTGGATACGTTACCAACGGTCACATCCTAGTTACAGGCTATCTGGAGACGTTACCAACGGTCACATCCTAGCCACAGGCTATCTGGATACGTTACCAACGGTCACATCCTAGCCACAGGCTATCTGGAGACGTTACCAACGGTCACATCCTAGCCACAGGCTATCTGGAGACGTTACCAGCTGTCACATCTTAGCCTCTTCTGTCTTCAATTCAAGGAAAATAACTATTCTTACCTCTCTCTCAAAGTTCATTGGAAGAGAGGATCCAAGGTCCCTCCTCTCAGACCTCCTCCTCCAATGAGCTTTGAGAAATGGGTGAAGGATTGCAGAAACAAAGAGGGAGGAGAGTTTAACAGCTGGTAACATGTTCACACACAGCCATGGTCTGCCTGTAGCTCTGGGGTGAAGTTTCCCCTAGGTACAGATCTAGGATCTGCTTCCCCTCCCCCAATTCTAACCATAACTATTAGGAGGGAAAATGCTAAACTGAACCCATATCAGCGTCTAGGGCAACTACATCCTACACCTGTTTCTGTACCTGTATTGAGGAGGTGGTGGTTGTTTCCTGTGACCCAGGAAGTGCTTGTGCTGTGGCAGCTGAGGCTGCTCTCACCGGCTCTTTGGTGGGCTCTAACATTCCCTGAAAGAGAGGAGAGAGGGACAGGGGGAGATGGTGAGAGAGAGAGGGGGGGGTGATGGGAGAGAGAGAGAGAGAGAGAGAGAGAGAGAGACGGGGGTGGGGGGGAGAGCAATAGGGAATAAAAGGTGAAGGGGAAAGGGAGAGGTGGTGAAAGAAAGAGGTCACCATGGAACACCTGGCAATGCCTGGCACAAGGCATTTGGAATACATGTCACATGATGAAAGGTTTGGACAGGGAGAAAGCAATATGGCCGACTGCCAAGTCATCATCTTATTGCTTTACACCTACCCAGTAGTCTCAGATCTGTGAACATTAAGGGGCTATCAGCATACAAGGCTAAAGGGAGGTAGCCTGGTCCCAGATCTGTTTGTGCTATCATGTCAACTCCTTGGCATGTTTGGCATGAAAAGGAGTGGCCAGGAGAGGCATGGATGGAGCAAACGGACTGGTACCCAGGCTTAGGGGGAGGTTCCAGGGACAGAAATGGAACTAGGGCCACCATGGACTGTGTCCATATGGGCCCTGGTCAAAAGTAGTGCACTGTATAGGGAATAGGGTGCCATTTGGGACACAGAATGGTATCTCCATAAATCCACTCACCAGGCTGGCTGCAAACACAGGAACTATGACAGGCTGCTTTCTCTGGCCAGTGAACAACTGTGGAGGAGAGACAATCAGAAATCACCAATACCTTTACATGTAGCAGGAATTCAAACAGGTGAAATGGTCCTGCTTTTACACCAATAAACAGAATATACAGACAGAATAATATTATATTAAGAGATGAAGAATTGACAGATAACCCGCATACAGTATGTACCCTATAGATAAAGCAACAACAGAGCACTTCTACATAGTAAAAGGGATATTAGACACATTTACAGTAATTATGTACAATATGGAAATAGGGGAGGGAGGGGCTGAGGGCGGGAGGGAGGAGCTGAGGGCGGGGGGGAGGGGCTGAGGGCGGGGCTGAAGGCGGGAGGGAGGGGCTGAGGGCGGGAGGGAGGCAGAGCACACACCCCATCAGGCCCAAGACACATCACTTACTACATTGTTGATGTTGTAGTTGTCAAAGACAGATAGCTTCGAATCATGTTTTATTTAGTTATGTTGCTCTCATGGAAATTAAACTGAAAAGAGGCCGTTACCATGTTCCTGGTGTCCATCCCCAGACAGCGGAGCAGGGTCCTGTTGCTATGGGAACCGCCCCACTGGAACCCCAGGCCCACGGCATCGTGGAGGTCCTGAGGCTGCCGCCACGCGCCCCTAGGAATCCTGGGTAAAGCAAACAACGAGGCGGTCATATACAGTAGAGTAGTGCTTTGGCCAGCCTCCAAAGCGATCTGCTGTTATTCCACTGAACCATTATCCTCAACATCATCTTCAGCATGATCATCGTTATAATCATCTTCATCATCATCACTAAAGGTTCTCTCACCAGTGTGTAGTGTGGTTGAGCCCCTTCGTCTCCTCTTCCTCAGGCTGGGTGCCCAGAGTCTCTAGCAGAGCCCTGAGGCTGAGTACCTTCAACACCTCTACCCCCCTCTCCTCCTCCTCTGTCTCCGTCTCCTCCTCACTCTCCTCCACCCCAGTCTCCTCCTCCATCCCCCTCTCCATACTCCTCTCCTGATCCAGTTCTGGGACTGCCACTGCAGGGAAGCTGGTCTGCAGGACCCTCTGTAGCCGGATAGACAGGGAGGCCTGAATGGGAGAAACAGTGCTTGTTTGAGATCTACTACATTGCAGTGTACTACATTATAATCAAACAAAATTAATGGGAAAGATTTTGAAACTAACTCTACCTGATTTTGAAGTGAACTGAAGTCTGGCAGGAACTGTCTTATTCCAGCAAACTCATTTTGGGGTGAACTACCTCTGGGGGACTACCTCTGGGGGACTACCTCTGGGGGACTACCCCTGGGATAGGCTAACTACAGTGACAATCTATTGATACAATAATAAAAACCTCTGGACAGAACTATTATTGCGGAGTCAGAGGTTATGACAAACATACTACACATGTAAGAGGGACAACTAAGTACTGTAGGATGCCTTTTTATCCGGTTCTCCCGGAGAATTCTGTTGGAAGTCCCAACGTGCTATCACTTTACATTTGCGCATGCAGCGGCTGACCAGTCATCGCACCGGTATATATTGTGTGTTGGCCGTGTGGGAGAAAATGTGAGGTGTCGGAGCTGGGGCTGTCTTTACGGCGTTATGTTATAAATCCACTCTAATAACTCCGGAGACCACTCACCTGCAGACTGTCCCTTTGTACAGCAGCACCTCCCTGACATCTCTCCCCCTCCCTCTTCACCTCCTCTTCTTCTGTCCGCCTGGCTCTCTCCTCCTCTCCAAGCTCTGCCCAGGTCTCCCCCTCAGACAGACCTCTCTGGTCCCCAAAAGCCCCCCAGCCCTCCTCCCTCTCACCCTGCCCCTCCGCACCCCCCTCCAGGGGAGCAGAGTGGAAGTCTGCAAAGCTGTCACTGAGGGGGAGGTCTCCATGTCCAACCTCCTCACCACACACCTCAGTCGGACCTGGGTCCTCAGAATAGTCCTGGTCAAAGTCACCAAAGACCTCCTGTGTCCTGGACTCTGATTGGTTGAAGTCAGCAAAGTCGTCCTGGCTAGGGAAGGATCCAGCATCCCTGAAGTTTCCAAAGTCCTCTTCTTCGTTGTCGTCTTCCTCCTCCCCCATCTTTGTCTCCGTCTCCTCTCTGAGGTCACTCCGCTGCACCTCCTCCTCACCTGGTGACAAGGGAGTGAAGACCGTCTCGCCAAAGTCTCCAAACTCCTCCAAAGCGTCTGAGGACACAGCCTCACCAAAGGAGGCAAAGTCCTCACTCACTGACCCACTGACTGTGGTGGGGAGAGGAGACACACTGTCCTCTGTTTCACTCCCCTTCTCTTCCTCCTCCCTCCCCCCTCCCAATTCTGGGTCCTGTGTAAGCGTGCCAAGAGTGCTATCCCTGTTGATGCTGGGTACCCTCTCCCCAGGCTCCCCCAGCCCCTCACCCCTAGCACAGAGCACCTCCGTGGGGGGTAAGAGGCCAGCGGAGTCCTGAGGGTGTTGCTGGACTCCAGTGCAGTCCCTGTCCCCTTGCTGTGCTACACACTGAGAGTCTGGCCCGCCACGCTCTATTCTGGCCCGCTGCTCTATGTCCTTCTTGACTGAGTATGCTTCGCAGAAACCGTTGGCTAGGTTTGTCCCTTCTGTCCTGCCGTCTTTCCTGTACTCCGTAGTGTGAGTGAAGCCGCAGCACCAGGGCTCCAGCTCCATCTCTGGCTCGGCGAACGCAGAGAAGTCTGCAAACCCCTGCTCCTGGCTGGGGGAGCCCAGACCAGCCGGTACAAGACCTGTGGTGAATTCATTAATTCGTTTTAAAATACATATAGAGATGCCTCAGCCATTTGAGTACAACAGTACATATATTAAAAATGACTGAGGATTAAAAACACAATACAACAAAAACAAAGAAAACGTGTATTACAAAGGCTAAGTTGCTAGGCAACCTCACAAACAACTCCATGACTGCCCTCAGGACTAAAGTTGTTACCTGCAGACATGGTCCCCTGGTGATGCCGCTCGGTAAACCCATTGGTGAGAGGGAGATCAGGGAGGTCGCAATGACAGGGCTGCCCTTTGACCTCCAACCCCGGCCGACCCCTGCCAACCTCTAGGGTCACAGTGTTAGCGGGCTGTGATTGGTCCACCACTGGCGCCCGTGGCTTCTTCAGGTCGTCAGCTGCTCGGAACTGTTTCGAGATTCCGTTGCTATGGGTAGCTCCGGCGAAGAAGGAGGAGTTACTAACACTAAAGTGCACCATTGATGGGGTTGGGGAGGCGGGGTCTGTCGTGGAGGGGCACAGCTGGTTGGATGACATTGCCACCCCTCCAGAGGAGGGCACACCCCCAGAGAAATCCCGAAACTCGTCATCGTCCTCCTCTCCCCCTGATTCGTCGTCCAGCGGAGGGGGGGAGGAGGGGTATATGCGCATCACTTCCTGTTCCATGGGTGAGCTCTCCTGGCTGAAGGCCTCATACACCTGGAGGGAGAACACAAACAGGTTGCGTTCAGAACGGCCTACCAGAAGACTGCCTGATTGTTCAATCAAATAAATATGGTGGTGGAGAAAAAGCAGGAAGGCCTTGTTCTACAGAGCCATACAGTGAGGGGAAAAACAGGAAGGCCTTGTTCTACAGAGCCATACAGTGAGGGGAAAAACAGGAAGGCCTTGTTCTACATAGCCATACAGTGAGGGAAAAAAGTATTTGATCCCCTGCTGATTTTGTACGTTTGCCCACTGACAAAGACATGATCAGTCTATAATTTTAATGGTAGGTTTATTTGAACAGTGAGAGACAGAATAACAACAAAAAAATCCAGAAAAACGCATGTCAAAAATGTTATAAATTAATTTGCATTTTAATGAGGGAAATAATTATTTGACCCCTCTGCAAAACATGACTTAGTACTTGGTGGTAAAACCCTTGTTGGCAATCACAGAGGTCAGACGTTTCTTGTAGTTGGCCACCAGGTTTGCACACATCTCAGGAGGGATTTTGTTCCACTCCTCTTTGCAGATCTTCTCCAAGTCATTAAGGTTTCGAGGCTGACGTTTGGCAACTCGAACCTTCAGCTCCCTCCACAGATTTTCTATGGGATTAAGGTCTGGAGACTGGCTAGGCCACTTCAGGACCTTAATGTGCTTCTTCTTGAGCCACTCCTTTGTTGCCTTGGCCATGTGTTTTGGGTAATTGTCATGCTGGAATACCCATCCACGACCCATGTTCAATGCCCTGGCTGAGGGAAGGAGGTTCTCACCCAAGATTTTACGGTACATGGCCCAGTCCATCGTCCCTTTGATGCGGTGAAGTTGTCCTGTCCCCTTAGCAGAAAACCACCCCCAAAGCATAATGTTTCCACCTCCATGTTTGACGGTGGGGATGGTGTTCTTGGGGTCATAGGCAGCATTCCTCCTCCTCCAAACACGGCGAGTTGAGTTGATGCCAAAGAGCTCGATTTTGGTCTCATCTGACCACAACACTTTCACCCAGTTCTCCTCTGAATCATATGGCCTTGTTCTACACAGCCATTATAAACAGACAGTAGGCCTTGTTCTACACAGCCATTATTAACAGACAGTAGGCCTTGTTCTACATAGCCATATGTCATTATAAACAGACAGTAGGCCTTGTTCAACATAGCCATATGTCATTATTAACAGACAGTAGGCCTTGTTCAACATAGCCATATGTCATTATAAACAGACAGTAGGCCTTGTTCTACACAGCCATTATTAACAGACAGTAGGCCTTGTTCTACATAGCCATATGTCATTATTAACAGACAGTAGGCCTTGTTCAACATAGCCATATGTCATTATAAACAGACAGTAGGCCTTGTTCAACATAGCCATATGTCATTATTAACAGACAGTAGGCCTTGTTCAACATAGCCATATGTCATTATAAACAGACAGTAGGCCTTGTTCAACATAGCCATATGTCATTATTAACAGACAGTAGGCCTTGTTCAACATAACCATATGTCATTATTAACAGACAGTAGGCCTTGTTCAACATAGCCATATGTCATTATAAACAGACAGTAGGCCTTGTTCAACATAGCCATATGTCATTATAAACAGACAGTAGGCCTTGTTCAACATAGCCATATGTCATTATTAACAGACAGTAGGCCTTGTTCAACATAGCCATATGTCATTATAAACAGACAGTAGGCCTTGTTCAACATAACCATATGTCATTATAAACAGACAGTAGGCCTTGTTCAACATAACCATATGTCATTATTAACAGACAGTAGGCCTTGTTCAACATAGCCATATGTCATTATTAACAGACAGTAGGCCTTGTTCAACATAGCCATATGTCATTATTAACAGACAGTAGGCCTTGTTCAACATAACCATATGTCATTATAAACAGACAGTAGGCCTTGTTCAACATAGCCATATGTCATTATAAACAGACAGTAGACCTTGTTCAACATAGCCATATGTCATTATAAACAGACAGTAGGCCTTGTTCAACATAGCCATATGTCATTATAAACAGACAGTAGGCCTTGTTCTACATAGCCATATGTCATTATTAACAGACAGTAGGCCTTGTTCAACATAGCCATATGTCATTATAAACAGACAGTAGGCCTTGTTCAACATAGCCATATGTCATTATTAACAGACAGTAGGCCTTGTTCAACATAGCCATATGTCATTATAAACAGACAGTAGGCCTTGTCCAACATAACCATATGTCATTATAAACAGACAGTAGGCCTTGTTCAACATAGCCATATGTCATTATAAACAGACAGTAGGCCTTGTTCAACATAGCCATATGTCATTATTAACAGACAGTAGGCCTTGTTCAACATAGCCATATGTCATTATTAACAGACAGTAGGCCTTGTTCAACATAGCCATATGTCATTATAAACAGACAGTAGGCCTTGTTCAACATAACCATATGTCATTATAAACAGACAGTAGGCCTTGTTCAACATAGCCATTATGCCTACATGCTCTTGCTATTGTAATAAAGCAGAGTAAGTTTGGCTAAACAGAGCTCTACAGTGCGACCATTTTACTCGCATATGCGCCTAAATATTTAGCTGTGTGACCTGGAATTGTATTATAGGAGCACCAGTGCGCCAAGAAAATGTTTGGATTCTAGCTTTATTACCTCAAATATTTTTCATTGTGCTCCTAAATTTATTTCTGTGCTCCTACATTATTCAACATAGGCACACACGTGCTCCTTGTGAAAGAAAGGTCAGCGTAGAGCCCTGCTAAATGTAAATTTAAACATTAGGAGAAGGTCACCTGTGGAATAAAAAAAAAAAGAGAACCTTTAAAACTGAAACGTGTGCGATTGTTCTCTAGCAATTGTTTGAAAAATAAAGTGTTAAAAAAAAAAACTGGCTACACAGACATCAACTGTAATAATATCACCCAAGTGTACGGCTGCGTCCCAAATGGCACCCTATTCCCTATATTAGTGCACTACTACCCAATGTGGACCCTGGTCAAAAGTAGTGCACTATATAGGGAATAGGATGCCATTTTGAATGCAGCCTGTGTGTCATTGACTTCTCCATGCGTGACTTTGTGCTCTCACTAAACAGGAACTGCAAACAAATATTTTTGGCACGCAAGTCAGCAGCAGTGGGATTTGGTTGTTAACTCTGAGATTGTGCTACATGCAGTACCCATACGAAAATGTATGCACGGACTACTTTAAGTCATCATGGATAAAAGTTTCTGCTAAAAGGAATATATTATTAGGCTATATTATATTATTACTATGTAGCAGATATTAACGGCCCATAAGCAACTGGTTAAATCAAGACTGTTTCAGGCCTTATCAGGAGTAAAGCTTGCCAATGTGTTGTTTGTTGTGCATTGAGGCTGGACTAACCTGGGGTGCATTCATTAGTCGCAGACCGTAGCAAAACGTTTTGCAACAGAAACCGTTTACTCAGTAAGGGGAGTGTATGACTGTACACTCCTAAAGAAGGGTAGAGGACCTTCACCTTCCAGGACAGAGGCTGCATCCCAAATGGCGCCTTATTCCCTAGTGCACTACTTTTGACCAGGGTGAGCCCTAGGGTGCCATTTGGGACACATAGAGAACGCCAGAGATCAAGGTCACGGGGTAATCCTAGCTACCTACTTAACTCCTCACTGATAGACTAGCTGCATCTTACAGTACACTCACACTTTCCCCATCACGGGAGCCAACTCAACTCAATACTTGAAGAATTTGTTAAATATCCTAAAAGTTAACAGTTATTCTTTAGTCTCTTGCTTTCCTGTTATATCAGTTATTCTAGGCTCAATAGGGCTACTATCTACCTCCTTAGTTGTTCTCTTATTGTTGAGGCTATTGGAGTGGAAAAAGTAGCCAGGACAAAGCCTACAACAAAGCCAGCCAGTCAGCCAGTCAGCCAGCCAGCCAGCCAGCCAGCCAGTCAGCCAGCCAGTCAGCCAGTCAGCCAGTCAGTCAGTCAGTCAGCCAGCCAGTCAGCCAGTCAGCCAGTCAGTCAGCCAGCCAGCCAGTCAGCCAGCCAGCCAGTCAGCCAGCCAGCCAGCCAGCCAGCCAGCCAGCCAGTCCAGCCAGCCAGCCAGCCAGTCAGCCAGTGTAACCCGATCCAGGGAATTGTCTCCAGCAGCACCAGTGTGCTCCGCTAGTCCGCTCACAGATAGGGAGGGTGCTGCACCCACATAAACAGGGTACGTCCCAAATGGAACCCTATATAGTGCACTACTATTGACCAGGGCCAATAGGGCTCTGGACTGGTCAAAAGTAGTGCACTACATAGGGAACAGGGTAGAGCCTCTTCCACCAGAAACTCTGTACTTTATAATATTAGCAGCCAGCACACCATTAAAAAGCCATTAACCATTAAGAAGCGTGTCCCTTCACCACTAATGTACTATGTATCAGTCAGTAAATACAGAGATATAGGCTTATCCAAAGCTACCCAACTAATGAATGAGCCTTTCTAGCTAGCTACCTGTAACATGATGCCAATGAACTGCAATGAATATACATTTACGGGCAATGGAAAATGTTCATTTGTGTGCCACGCAGTCACAGTGCATGGCTATAACACAAGTGGTTATCTTGTGGCCGGGTAAGGATGACATTTAGCTTGCTAGTTGCTAAAAATATATTAAATTACATTTAATGTAACATTAGCTAAATCATCATTTCTGTACTCATTTTAGTGTGTTGTAATTTCACCAACCATTGACATGGCTCTCTAAGAAAGAGTGCGGCTATCCTAGTTCCAGTACACTGTTGACATTCCTCATCGTTTCCCAGCATGGGGGTTGTTTTAGCTCTCAAACGCTAGGCGGCATTCTGCCTTCTCCCTACAGTTTTCAGACATTAGCTTCGCCAACGACTGGCTCATGTGAACTATAATCCCAACTATGTGTTTTAACGTTCAGAAACGTCAATCGAAACATATGGCCCTTATCTTTCATCAGCAAGAAAGAATCCTATACATAAATAAGAAACCACTGTAGCAGTTTTGCACAGATCCACTACAGCTATGGGCGCCTCAGCCTCCATCCAACAAAACTACACTTCCAGAGTTACGCTTACACATGTTTGGAGCACGGTAGGTAGGTCATTCTCTGTAACATGGATATATGGCCGTTGGAACACTAACCCTATAAAAGTTGTGTATCAATTTAACCTTATTTCTCACTGATATGAAAGATAAGGTCATTGTGCTTCCAAAACTATACCGCAAGCGATGCGTGTTAATGTCAGGGCTCTTAACAAAACGCCCCCCTACAGAAGACGTCTTCTTCCAATGACTTCTGTGTAATGTTATGGTACTGAGAGTCATTAGGACTAGGGGTTGTTCTAACTAGCTAGATAAACCACTTGACTTTTAAACCCTGTAGAAGTGGGAAATTAAGTTGATTTCTGTAGACAGTGAGATAAACCCTGAGCTATGACAAACAGGTAATGATGAGGAAATATAACTAGTTAGCTTGTTGAGAAACAAATAAATGTTTGCTAGCTACTAACGTTAATGTTAGCTTTGAAACAACAACAGACCCATTTTAGATTAGGCAGGTGTTTTAAACTGGCAGGCTAGCAAACGAATGCTTTAATTAGATATCTAGTAAACTAAACTAGCTACGTAGATCTTAATAGCTAACGTTAGCCAGTTAACTGGGAGCATAAATGAGACAAAAGTGTTTGCTTTTGAAAACACAATAAATGTTTGTTCAAACTAGTTAGCTAGCTCTGGTCTATGGGTACGCGTCGGATGAAGCCCATATTGCCGATCCGACGCATTCGCATGCACCAGAGCTAGCGTGGCGGTAGATTGAGCATACAGAGAAACGTTCGTCAACACTTTAGCAACATCTTTACTTAAAGTAGCTATATTGAAGCCAGTCACTAAACAACATCGGGTGACAAAATCCTTTATGGATGGATGAATTGATTGATGCAGGCCATTGAAGAAGGCTCTTGCGGCATAATGCCACAAGTAACGCCATGGACCAGAGCTAACAACTAGCTAGCTAATAGCTACTTAGTTAGCAAGCAAGCTAGCTATTTCCCCCTTACCTTCAGATGTAGTAGCTATGGTGTTCATCTCACAACCGGGATGTGCAGACAAACTAAGATGTACGAAACAAAATGTTGATTCTGACTAAATACCTGGAATGTAGCTAGCTAAGTTACACTGCCTCTCTCTATCAAACTACAGTTACTGCATCTCTCCACTTCACTCTGTTGGCATGATAACAAATACATTAAACAATGGTGCCGACTCGTTACTTCCGGTAATGCCAGCCCAAATGCTGTTATTTGTAAAATAATCATTGTATTTGTTTATTTAGCTTAGATTAAATAAGAGGTAGTGTTGATTTACAAAAATGTTTTTTCAATATTTACAAAACATGAGAGCTTCTGGGTAAAGTGGGTGGGTAACAATACTTTACTGGTATGGCATGGAGACATACAGTACATGCCAGTGATGCGACATCACTGCTCATATGGAATTGCCACATATCCTTTGTTCATATGGTAATAATGTTAACATAGGTTATAGCCTACTCCAGCTGTGCTGTGCTCACAGACACACCGAGACAAGTGCACCTATCCACTACTGGATTGTGATTGAAGGATGCTCATGCAGCACCTCTTTTAGTCAGCTGAGAAATATTTTAATTCAAGTTGAGCGGGAGATGAAGACAGACAGCCAGACAGACAGCCAGGCAGGCAGGCAGGCAGGCAGGCAGGCAGGCAGACAGGCAGACAGACGGGCTGGCAGGAAGATACAGTTACAAATATTATTACCATGGGTTATAAGAATCCAATCCATTCGGTGTGAATGTGCTTCCAATAAGAAACGCATGGCCTCTGTAGGCTATGTGGACTCGAGGACACCCACATAGAATAAGCTATTTGTCATTTAATGTGTCTGACTGACACAAGGTCAAGGGCTCAGAGAGACGAGGGTCCTTTTCCGGTCGCCTGGCGTCGCTCAGCTGACGAGATAAAATACTTTTAGACACATCTATGTTCTTGAAGGTGCCCTCAGCTCCCAGCAAATGAGACTTGGCTCCACAAGTCATTTATTCACTGTTATAACAACAGTCATTTTGCATCCCAAATAGACACTTATTCCCTATGTAGTGCACTACTTTTGACCACAGCTGGTCAAAGGTAGTGCACTATATAGGGAATAGGGTGCCATTTGGGACATACCCACAATCAGTCCACATTCAATATTGACATCCACAACGCTGGAGCCTGCTATGGCAGCAATACGTAGTCATTGACTGAGTCTCAGAACTCTACCTGGCAATCTGTGCTCATAGGACTCAGATTAGGTCAAGCAATCACTCCAACCAGATTAGATTACTGAGTAACGTTCAGTCATGTCGGACCGTCTCTATAATCTTTTAGGATTACATCACATTATTATCAATGGAGATCATAAAATCAGTCAAGTCATATAACAGCTCATTTTTCTACATTATGTAGCAGACACTCTTATCCAGAGCGACAATTAGGGTTAAGTGCCTTGCTCAAGGGCACATCAACAGATTTTTCACCTAGTCTGCTCAGGGATTCAAACCAGTGACCTTTTGGTTACTGGCCCAAAACTCTTAACCACTAGGCTACCTGCCACTACAAAATCACATCTACAAAAATACATATTTATAATTTTAAGTAGATAAAAAAGGTGCTAGATCTTATTAATAGGAATGTGATACAAATGTTACTATTGAACAGTACATAGGCCTACATTCCCATGGTAACAGTTTGTTAAAGAAACAGCAGGGGGAGTTACAGAACATAAACAAACCATCACCAGAGTCATCCTGAGCATTCCATTGACACCCCGACTAAACAAAAACGGACCCTTACCTCAACCTTAACCTAATTTTAACAATTTTGTTTATTAAATATCGGTTTGTATGTCAGACACATCCCCTTAGTTTTTCCCGAGGCATCCCAGGCTGAGGAAAGCAGTTTTAAAGGGGCAATCTGTGATTGGTACATCTATTTAGGACTTTCAAATGAATAATAATACCCATTGATTCTTGAAGAATATAATTTATAAATGAGCTTATTAGTTCAACTCTCATAACCCATCATAACCCAAAATATCAGCTTGTTTTACTCAATTGTTTGTAAGCAATGCAATGCAGTCAAAACTGAAATACGGATCATTTTGAGATCATGGATGGTCAGTCCTTTCATCCATAGCTCTGTCTATGAATTTGAGAGTGGTTACATTTCTCCAGCCCCATCCCTCAGATGTTTATTACCAAAACAGTGGAAGGGTACTCGCTTTGTTATTGCTGATTGCTTCTTTAACCCATACCACTGCTCCTCCACATAACTGCATAACTTCCTGTCTGTAATCACTCAGTCACTGCGATAAAGGCATTAGTGTATGTGAGGGAAGATGTCAAATGTCAAACCAGAGGACTCTACTCTATCTCTCCTTCTCAAACTCTGTCTCCATCCCTTCATCTCTCTCTTTCACTCTCTCTTACAGACACATGCTCACAGACTGTACACAAGCATGCACACACCCACACTGTCTCTCTCTCCCCTACTTCTTTTATGTACACACACACACACACACACACTCTCTATCTCCCTCCTTTCCTCGCTCCCTCTCTCAGCTTCTCAGCATGGCAGGGGCAGGACACAGACTCTCTTGTTTTCCTGATGGCTCGTTGTCAAGAGCTCGGTCTGTGGTTCAGCCCTGCCAGAATGAAACACATTGAGCACCGGCACATTCCAAGATGACACGTTTATTGATCTACAAAGTAGTTGTTTTAACAAAAGCATGGGAAAATAAGACATTTGAAGAGGAAGATAGCACCACTAGTGGAATTACTAATTTAATGCACACACAAAAAATGCTCCAATGCAAAATGTCAAAATTCTCCATGAATGACTCAATTTGGTTTCAATCAGTTAGGAAGTAGTGTGTATAATAAGTTACTGTGTGTGTCCCAAATGACACCCTATTCCCTACATAGTGCACTAGTTTTGACCAGAGCCCTATGGCGCACTATTCCCTACATAGTGAACTACATTTGCCCCATGGGCTCTTGTCGAAAGTAGTGCACTATATAAGGAATAGATTGCCCTTTGGGACACAGACTAAGAGTTTCATTGCACCTGTGGGACTGGTTTATATGCAGGATCCTCCGTGGAAAACACAGAATAGAGAATGAATCTGTTAACTAGGGATCTTCTTTCCTGAGGCACTCAGTCAGACAACACTAGCTACATCATACAGAAACAACCGTTTGCATGTTGTAGCAGAGAGGCATCTTTTTTCATACTAAATAACTGGATTTTGTCAAATTTCTTGTCCTGAATCCTATATCCTCATCTGAAGTCAATTGGTGAGAAAACAATTTGGTTAGACCTAACTTTATAGATAGATAGTCTTGTGATCTTTTAATATTTAATTTAACAGGAAAATGGCCTTGTTCATGACTCTTGATAAAAGGAAATACGATTGTAAACCCACACAACATCAACAACAGCACAACCTAACCTACATAGGACACTCCATTAATAAAATAGTTTGCTTTTCCAAAAAAACAAGAATAATTTCTGCATCCCAAATGGCATCCTATTTCCCTATGTACTGTAGTGCACTACTTTTAACCAGGGTCCATTAAGCTCTGGTCAAAAGAAGTGCCACTTGTAAGGAATAGGGTACGATAGGGACACATCCATTGACTTGGGCTTTTTCCTTACCACAGCAGTTGAATCCATCACTAGGCTGTAACACAGCTGGGAGAAAAAGAATACATCTCACATGCTTGGAAAGTCTAAAAACAAAAACGAGGAAAACTATCATCTTGGCTTCTCAGATATGCAATATGCTCAGATAGTACTTGGATTCAACAACCAGACCGGGGTTCAATTACTACTTGAAATCTTTCATAAACGTTCAGAGTTTGCTCTAGTCTAGTCTGCCTGGAGTACCAGATGGGCGGGGTTTGCACTCCTTGTGACTATTCTATTGGTTCCATTGTGCCAGCCAAGCTCAATCAAGCCCAGATAAAGTATTTGAAATGATATCAAATAGTATTTGAACCCAGGTCTGTCAACAACACATGCGTACCGAAACACCTTACATTTACAGTTTAGTCATTTAGCAGACGCTCTTATCCAGAGCAACTTACAGGAGCAATTAGGGTTAAGTGCCTTGCTCAAGGGCACACCTTTCGGTTACTGGCACTACGCTCTTAACCACTAAGCTACCTGCCACCCACCTTGCCTATAAAACACTTATAGACACATTGTCTCATGTAAAAACCAAACCAACAAGGCCATGTTCAAAATATGTACATCCAAAGTCCAAAGGCATGTTAACATCATCAGATTACAATCGGTGAGCAATGACATTCAGTTCAAACCAGAAGTCTTATTTTATAAAGTCTTCCATGTTTTTCTGATGGTTGTCTGAGGCCAGGGTAGGTCAGTGTGTTGAATGGTATTTGTGTTGTGGCAGGGCTGCAGCTGTAGACCCAAGGGCTGAGTTCAATCAAACACGCACTGCAGGTCTCTCACATTGTGGAAAAGTCCTACTAGCTCCTATGTTACAGCAATACACCATTTCATTCAAATCCAATAACAGAAACCAATTTCATTCAAATCCAATAACAGAAACCCATTTCATTCAAATCCAATAACAGAAACCCATTTCATTCAAATCCAATAACAGAAACCAATTTCATTCAAATCCAAATCTGATTTAATCAAATTAGCATTGACTGATTAATCAGTATGTATGCTGTTTAAGCCCCCGCCCCCTGTTGTGAATCAGGAAGTGTTTTCGTGTTATCTCCCTCCCCCCTGTTCTTCCTGGATATACAGTGCCACGGGAGTGAGTGACCTCACGAGTTGACCCCTGGACCACAACTGACAGGCTGAACCACAGGCGAGATGTTAGAGGCTGAACCACTGGTGAGATGTTAGAGGCTGAACCACAGGTGAGATGTTAGAGGCTGAACCACAGGTGAGATGTTAGAGGCTGAACCACAGGTGAGATGTTAGAGGCTGAACCACAGGTGAGATGTTAGAGGCTGAACCACAGGTGAGATGTTAGATGCTGAACCACAGGTGAGATGTTCGAGGCTGAACCACAGGCGAGATGTTAGAGGCTGAACCACAGGCGAGATGTTAGAGGCTGAATCACAGGCGAGATGTTCGAGTGACATGTATGACATATTAGGCTCTAGAACACGTATTTTATTCTGCCTCTTGGTTTTAACCTCAATTTGGTCTTTTATACACAGATGTATTATTTGATTTCTCTTAAGAATTTCCAATGTGAATCATATAGGCCCACTTATTTTCCCATGGGGCAACTGGATATTTGTTTGTATTTAAATGAATTAGTTTCACGAGGGATGGTTTCCAACTCACTACAGCCAGAAGTTGTGGTTTCACGAGGGATGGTTTCCAACTCACTACAGCCAGATCAGCACTGACAATGAAATCAGCCACCCAAAACACACCCAGACTCAGCCTAATACAACATTAAGGCTACAATACTGTTGAGGTCAGTGCATTGGGCTGGTTCATACAAACTCTCCCTGTCTTCCATATTGCCTTCCTAATAGCCTACTGTAGTTTCCTTACGGAAATGAGTGCCCTGTCATGCAAAAAAAGAGTTCTCTATTTTAGTACCTCAGGAAAACCCTGTGTGACCATCCAGGAGAAAAAGACACAGAGAGGAGGACGTTATTGCTCTCTTACAGAAAGAAAGAAAGAAAGAAAGAAAGAAAGAAAGAAAGAAAGAAAGAAAGAAAGAAAGAAAGAAAGAAAGAAAGAAAGAAAGAAAGAAAGAAAGAAAGAAAGAAAGAAAGAAAGAAAGAAAGAAAGAAAGAAAGAAAGAAAGAAAGAAAGAAAGAAAGAAGAGACAGACCTGTAGATGAATATGTAGCCTACTGAACAATTCTGCATCCCACTGAATATTGTCATGGATCGCCTACTGTAATGATGTTCAGAGACCAAAGAGTCAGACTTCAGTACACCGATTTATAGCACACACTCATTATCAACCAATCACTATCTCCCCATGCTGAAAGTGATGCACTGTACAAGGTTCAGTCAGTGCAGTGGCCTATCTGGGCAAAACCAAGAAAGGGACCATTTGAAGCACATTACAGGGGTAAACCAAGGAAGGGTCCATTTGAAGGACCGTACAGAGGGAGATCTGACAACACCAAAGGAAAAAAACACCAACCAACTAACCCCTCAACCTCCACAAAGTTATCATGACTTAAAGGTGCTACACCGAGAATGTCTCAGAATGTCTCCCCCAGGTGGAAGCTAGGAGAATTCTAACAGCACTAGGCAGCATTTAAAACATATTTCTCCCCTCCCCAGAATCCCATTTCCTCGTAACATGGAGGAGACTCACACTTGAGCCTTTTATTTTCTGTTTTGGTCCAGCAGCTTCAAACAGCTGGAAAGACTATATATGTGTTATTATTGAAGAGATATTTCACAGCGTTTTAGATGGTACAATGATTCCCTACACCCCTCAACTCAGGACATCAAAGCCAGTTCCACTGCATTTTTTCATTGTTCCCCTCTAATCAGGGACTGATTTAGACCTGGGACACCAGGTGGGAGAAATTAATGATCAGGTAGAACAGAAAACCAGCAGGCTCCGGACCTCGTAGGGTCAGAGTTGACTACTCCTGCCCTACACTATTCAGTGCTTGTTTTCTCACATAAACTGAAATTGAGCGAACAGTGTAGAATTTTAGCAATCAGGAAATGACAGAGCGATTTCTACATTGGCCACTTGACCCGATTTCCACTAGACAACACAGCCACAAAGTCAAAACAACTTTCCCAATTTGACAACAGATGCCGCTCCGACGGGAGAAATCAATAGTAGAATATCACAGCCAATCACAACACTGGCGGGTAAGTAATACTGTGAAACACTATCATTCCACTATTACTGCAGACATTTTCTGAAATTACAATGCAAAAATAAAAATCCTGTGTGGCACCTTTAATACAATGTCTCTCCCTACTCATCTACAACTCAGAGCTGACTCGCTCCCAACAGGAAAGCAGCATCCCAAATGGCACCCTATTCCATACAAAGTGCACTACTTTTGATCAGGGCCCATAGGGTCAAACGTGGCTCTGGTCAAAGTTGTGCATTATGTAGGGAATAGGGTGCCCTTTGGGACGCACCCGAAGAATGAGAAGGAGAGCTCCAACAACTAAGCCCAGTCAGAATGAGAAGGAGAGCTCCAACAACTAAGCCCAGTCAGAGACAATAGAGAGCTTTGATGGAGCACAATAGCTCATTTGGCACCATGTGTTGTCCGTGGGGGGAGGAGAGAGAGAGAGAGAGAGAGAGAGAGAGAGAGAGAGAGAGAGAGAGAGAGAGAGAGAGAGAGAGAGAGAGAGAGAGAGAGAGAGAGAGAGACAGAGACAGAGACAGAGACAGAGACAGAGACAGAGACAGAGACAGAGAGAGAGAGAGAGAGAGAGAGAGAGAGAGAGCGAGAGAGTAAAAAAAGGTGTGTAACTGATCAGGTGAATTTACCCTCCGCTAAACAGTTATTGGTGAACAGTAGTAGCTCAGTGTGTACATGAAGTGGTGGGCTCTGGTCAAAAGTAGTGCACTAAATAGGTAATACACGCTTAGAAAAAAGGCTTCCAAAAGGGTTGTCCATTTTGGTTCCAGGTAGATAGCACCTTTTGTTCTAGGAGTGTAGGGTGCCATTCCAGATGCAGCCTATATATGTTAATAGAACCAGAGATGACATTATGAGGTTGAAGCCTTTTTCTCACAGTGATGACGCTCACACTATACCGACCTAGCTACCCACTGGGAAAAAATTGGTTGAATCAACGTTGTTTCTGCGTCATTTCAACAACCAAAAAATGTATTAATCAATGTGGAAAACTGATTGGATTTGCAAGAAGTCATCAACATAAGGGAATTTTGTCTTTTTTTTTCACCCAACTTTACACCTAAATCTAATGACATGGTGAAATTCTTTGTTGATTTCACGTTGAATTCACATTAGTTGACAACTCAACCAAATTTAAATCAAAACTAGACGTTGAGCTGACGTCAGTGCCCAATGGGTATGCTACCATAGAAAAACATGGCTGCTGTACATTCAAAACACCATTCAGCCTCTATTCCTATTCTAATCGCTAGCTAACAGAACAGTCTGTAAACTTCAAGGAGGTACCGGTTACAGTTTGGGGTCAACTGTTTTTTTTGTTGGGCAAAACATTTCACTTCGGTGTGCCCTACTGAATACGACCCTGGCTTTAAAAAATGCTCAAGCGTGTAAGAGAATCCACCATTTGCATATACAGTAATAATCCGGTCTGTAAAAGCGAGGTTTGAGTGGAATGGTTGTTTAGGCTAAGTGCAGGCGATCGCTGGGTACATTTTCACTATGGGGTGTTTCTTCATTTACAAGTCAGAGTCCAGTTAAGCAAACTCCTTAAAGGGATAGTTCACTCCAAGATCAAATTTGCTGCAATGTTTTGAAGTCTAGAAAGTGATCTGAACCAGACCACCCGAGTCCATATTCCACACCACACCACGCGTTGTCTATACTCTGCAGTGTGCCTTTGGAGAAATCTACAGACCCCATCCCAAATGAATAGGAAAGATTGGCACCTCTAATTCCAGTTTATTAGCTCCACAGTTGAGGTATAAAACATCTGATAAACTTGGATTTTGTGGTGAACTACCCCTTTAATGAACCAATCGTTAATCTCTCATTAAACAAGCAATGTAAACAAAGCTCCAAATGAACTATACATTCTATTCACTACCATGTAGCTCTATGTCAGTGCAATATCTATCCATCTACAGGACAAGAATGGTCGCAATGAACTGAAATTGTGAGTAAGAACAACCAATAATACATTGCATACAGTTACAAGACATTTCAATCAAAAAACTGCTACGGTACATCTTGCAGAGACTTCACAATATAATCCTCATTTCCATGTGTGCTTGCCAAATGGCACCCTATTCCCTACATAGTTCACTACTTTTGGCCAATGACCCTGGTCAAAGTAGTGCACTATATAGGGAATAGAATGCCATTTAGGATGTATCCTCTCTATGTAGGTCATTGAGTTAGGATGAAAATAACCATGACAACCAACCAACCAGCAAACCCAATTTGTGCAAAAAACGGGGGCTCCCGTAATATTGAGCTTGTCAACCAACGAAATAACCCTAATTTACAATGATGATTTTTTTTTTAGGAGATAAATATTGTTGATTCCTGAGAAACCTCCTGAGAATTGTAGGATTTCTCCACATGAAAGCAAAATACTTCTGGGTGCTCTACGGCTGCGTCCCAAATAGCACTCTAGAGCCCAATAGTGCCCTAAAAGTAGTGCACTATTACATTTACATTTGGAATAGGGTGCCATTTGGGAAGCACCCTACACCAGCAAAGTCCCCATAGGATGCTTGGAAACCATGAGCAGGCGTTTATATAGTGAGATCCCTGACACACAACTGAGGAAGAAAACAAAGGAGTTCTTTCAGAACAAAGACACACAGAGCTGCGTTGGATTGCAACCATTCAACCAAGAACTAGGAAGGTCAGAATAACGTCAGACCTTGGATGAGACATGGCAAGATAAAAGGGAAAGAAGAAGCGGCGTGAAGGCCTTTCCAAAGCGCTAGGCCCACTGTCGCTGCAGTGTTGCATTGTGGGTATTGTAGTACCAGGTGTGTGTGTTCACCTGTATTGAGTTCTTGTTGTGTCACACACTGGCATGGCAGCTGGGTTGGTTAACCTAGCTTGGTGATCTGTAGACCCCCCTCTATCCTCACTGTATCGATGGAGGGCAAAGATTTCACTTTGTGAAAAAAGTCGAAGAGCGGGTTTCCGTCCACAAATATCCGGAAGCGCGTGTGCTCGCAGTGGATCTCGATCTGGATGGATAAGATAAGATAAGATAAGATAAGATAAGATAAGATAAGAGAGAGAGAGAGAGAGAAAGAGAGAGAGAGAGAGAGAGAGAGAGAGAGAGAGAGAGAGAGAGAGAGAGAGAGAGAGAGAGAGAGAGAGAGAGAGAGAGAGAGAGAGAGAGAGAGAGAGAGAGAGAGAGAGAGAGAGAGAGAGAGAGAGAGAGAGAGAGAAAAAACACAGATGAAAACATCCCATTTCTAAACCAAGTCACATCATGTGGCCATGTGGTTCTTTTCCCAAATGAAAGAGAGCTTGTTAGCTTTTGCATAACTTATCACTTCTGCCATCTCTAACCCTCATCCTCTGACAAATGTGTGACTGGAGCAACCTGCTTTCCAATAAAACCACAACAAGGAACAACGTATGTTCCTTTTCACTGGGCTATATCTTTACATAACATCTGTACTGAATCATCACAGCAACTAAAAATAAGTCAGAGACTGGTAGAGCGGGGGAGTGTATGAGATGGAGATAGGGGTGGAATGCCAATTATCATGACGTTAAGACACTTGTTAACTGTGGCCCCATAGGGCTCTGGTCAAAACAAGTCTTCTATAAAGGGGACATGGTGCCATTTGGGACAAGTTGGATCAGAACGACAGTGAAGTGTTCTTGGTACCCTGAAGGGCTGGTCGGGTTAGGGGTTAGGGTTAGAATTTAAAAAGAGAGTGGAGTGTTATGGGTACCCTGAAGGCCTGGTCCAGTTAGGATTAAGGATGAAGGTTTAGGGGTTAGGATTATAGGTTAGGGGTTAGGATAAGTGTAACAGGTACCCTGAAGGCCTGGTCCAGTTAGGATTAAGGATGAAGGTTTAGGGGTTAGGATTATAGGTTAGGGGTTAGGATAAGTGTAACAGGTACCCTGAAGGGCTGGTCAGGGATGAAGGGGAAGTAGTCGATAGACTTCTCCTCCTCGCTCCACTGTCCCGAGACGCGGGAGTTACGCAGGAACTGGCGCTCGGCAAATCGAGCGCTGAGTTTCAGGGCCACATCCGGCTGTGGCTCCTCCTCCTCTGTGCCGCGGCCGCAAGTCAGGCTGACGTCAAAACTGAGACGGAAAGAAACGTAGAGAAGAGAAAAGTATTAGGTGTAACTGTGCTGGCTTAACAATATCCCTTTCTACCCTAGGTAACCTGTCCCTTAGTGGGATCCCTAGGTAACCTGTCCCTTAGTGGGATCCCTAGATAACCTGTCCCTTAGTGGGATCCCTAGGTAACCTGTCCCTTAGTGGGATCCCTAGGTAACCTGTCCCTTAGTGGGATCCATAGGTAACCTGTCCCTTAGTGGGATCCATAGGTAACCTGTCCCTTAGTGGGATCCCTAGGTAACCTGTCCCTTAGTGGGATCCCTAGGTAACCTGTCCCTTAGTGGGATCCCTAGGTAACCTGTCCCTTAGTGGGATCCATAGGTAACCTGTCCCTTAGTGGGATCCATAGGTAACCTGTCCCTTAGTGGGATCCCTAGGTAACCTGTCCCTTAGTGGGATCCATAGGTAACCTGTCCCTTAGTGGGATCCATAGGTAACCTGTACCTTAGTGGGATCCATAGGTAACCTGTCCCTTAGTGGGATCCATAGGTAACCTGTCCCTTAGTGGGATCCCTAGGTAACCTGTCCCTTAGTGGGATCCCTAGGTAACCTGTCCCTTAGTGGGATCCATAGGTAACCTGTCCCTTAGTGGGATCCATAGGTAACCTGTCCCTTAGTGGGATCCCTAGGTAACCTGTCCCTTAGTGGGATCCATAGGTAACCTGTCCCTTAGTGGGATCCCTAGGTAACCTGTCCCTTAGTGGGATCCCTAGGTAACCTGTCCCTTAGTGGGATCCATAGGTAACCTGTCCCTTAGTGGGATCCCTAGGTAACCTGTCCCTTAGTGGGATCCCTAGGTAACCTGTCCCTTAGTGGGATCCATAGGTAACCTGTCCCTTAGTGGGATCCCTAGGTAACCTGTCCCTTAGTGGGATCCCTAGGTAACCTGTCCCTTAGTGGGATCCATAGGTAACCTGTCCCTTAGTGGGATCCATAGGTAACCTGTCCCTTAGTGGGATCCATAGGTAACCTGTCCCTTAGTGGGATCCATAGGTAACCTGTCCCTTAGTGGGATCCATAGGTAACCTATCCCTTAGTGGGATCCATAGGTAACCTGTACCTTAGTGGGATCCATAGGTAACCTGTACCTTAGTGGGATCCCTAAGTAACCTGTCCCTTAGTGGGATCCATAGGTAACCTGTCCCTAGGTAACTCTGTTACATGAGGAGACATTAAGAAAGAGCATATGGTAATGGAGCTGTAGGAGACATAGAGGACGGCCTATAGGGACAATGGTAATGGAGCTGTAGGGGACATAGAGGAGGGACTATAGGGACATGATGCTGTAGGGGACATAGAGGAGGGACTATAGGGACATGATGCTGTAGGGGACATAGAGGAGGGACTATAGGGACATGATGCTGTAGGAGACATAGAGGAAGGCCTACAGGGACATGGTGTCTGTGTAGGAGAAACACCACATAATACTGTTGTCATTATGTTTAGCATCTGGAGGAGCAGTATGTTCACATCTGCCATGACAAGCATTTTGCCATGAACTTTGACATACTGTAAATATTGTGTGCCAGGCATTTAAAACTGATGTCACTAAATACGTTTTTAAACTGAACATTAGTTTCTATTCAGGCCTGTAAAGGACACACACTAAAATGTCTCAACAAGCACTGTGTCCCAATTGGCACACTATCCCCTTTGTAGTACACTACGTTTGATCAGGGCCCCTAGGGCTCTGGTCAAAGGTAGGCTAGTGGACTACATAGGGAATAGGGTGCCATTCGGGATACAGCCAGCTCTGCCTCAGCCTGGCCTGACTGTGGAGGTGAACACCCTGCCTTGCATTATGAAAAAGCCATCCTTTCTCAACACACCCACCCACGCAGTTCTCCATTTCTCCCCCCCGGGCCATTTCTTTGCCTCCTGCCATGCTGCTAATAATGAACTCATCTTTTTAAATTTTCCTTTTCTGAACCTATGTGCGATTCTGTCTTTTACAATACATGTTCTCTCTCCTTATTAGGCTAGATTCGCATATTTCAGCAGACATAATATAGACAAAACAGCATTTCACCAATTAAAAATTCAATACACAGGCCTGCAACAATTAATTGTATAGGCTACATTCTTACAGAATCAGAACTCCAACTAAAATGGAATGGGACTTAGAATGTAATGAAAAAGCAGTATATGACAGATAAGAAGTTGATGATGACATTCATTCAGATAAGCCAGGACGCAAGTGAAAAATAGACCTAGTTAGCTCTGGTCCAGGATGCCTTCTCTTCTTCAAGAATAAGTTGAAGTCTAAGGCACTGCATCACAGTGCTAGAGGCATCACTACAGACCCAGATTTGATCCCGGGCTGTATCACAACCGGCGTTATTGGGAGTCCCATAGGGCGGCGCACAATTGATCCAGCGTCGTCCAGGTTAGGGGAGGGTTTGGCCGGGGTAGGCCATCATTGTAAATAAGAATTTGTTCTTAACTGACTTGCCTAGTTAAATAAAGGTTCAATAAAAAAAAGAAGGCTCAGCATCAGCAAGCAGCACGTAACGGCATGGACCAGAGCTAACACCTAATGAGTGGAGGTTATTGGCTTAGCCTACCTGTCCGGCTCCAGATCAACAATGCCCATGACAATGACCTTCTTCCCCGGCCTCATACCACCTCTGATGCGGCCGCTGAATGGCACCTTCTATGATTGAGAGACAACATTTTATTTTAAATCATCACCACATTTAATCATCATCACAACACATAATGTGGACAAACACATGGAATACGATAGGGAAGGACTGACATCAAATGTCCCCCATCCTCCAGGGTAGGTGATGTGGTAATTATTTTTTTAAGGATTAACCATTCAGGCCTATATATTGATTAACGTCGATGGATGAGGATGAATCTTCCCACCAGAAGCCGTGAAATGTCCTCCCTATCCGGCGAGATAAGCCCGGGGTTCCCGAACGAATCGTTGTGATGGTCATCTTCAGTCTTCTTCAAAACCACCAGAGACAAAGGGGAAAGAAAAAACATAATGTATTGATCAGGTACAGCCTAAATAATAACAGCCTAATCAATGGGCGGAGTAGCCTAGCGTTCTAATAGGCTGCATATTGCTCAAGGTCTTCTCGGCCGTTGAAAAAGCCGACGGCATGGCCCTCATGCCGCTATTCAACAATCAAAAGGTTGGGAAATCCATGGCTGTCAAAATATCTGTCATGTTCTAGACTAGAGCGCGTAAGACCTGTGACAACGTTTGTTCATTACCATCAAGGCGCACATAGATAGCCTACATTGTAAATTGATAACGAGAAATAATGCACCGTATCGGTTAAACGACCTAGGTGACCACCACACAGATACATTTCCACATGCAGAATCATATGGAATTTCTTCCGCGCCCACATCAAAGGTCGACTCGGGCTGTGCTTGGGAATGCACAGCCAGCCTATTGCCATATTACTCCCCACAATAATAGAAACTTGATGATGACGTAAATTACAGCTCTCCACAAATGACACGCGTAACCGTTTTTACGCGCAGATACAGAAAACAACAAATTCCGAGCAAACAGCTGTTTAACAGCAAATTGTAATACTCACTATTCCGTCCTTTTCCGTTACCGACACCGCCATCTTGACTTGTACAGAATACCATAGGATGCTTATCAGAAGAGAGGCATCCCAGGCAGCCCTCCCCTACTGGAATGTGTCAGCGTCGTGGCAGCAGTGACTCAAGGAGCCTATTCCTAGGTGTCCACACACCCAACCCACACTCAACAAGCAGCGGAGAGGAATCCTAAACAATACGTGGAGTTACCTACGGTATTCACATTTAGGACTAGAAGACGTCTCGTGTAGGCTGGCTGGCTGAGGCTGCGTGTTGTAGTAGGCTATGCCTAGGCCATACATATCCGCTCTAGAAATGGGTGGATAGCCTTTTTATTTTGCTGACGTATGCTTTATAATAATAAGAGGGGCTTTGGTAATCCCCGTCTGTTTGAGAACGAGCCAGGCTAATCAGATTTTTATTTTCCTCCCAACCCCCTTCACCTAATTATGCTGAACCCCCATAAAGTGGGGTCTCTTCTCTCGTTCGACTCTAATATTGAGTGGAAATATTTTGTATAGCCTCGTTCCTAGACTAATAAAGATGCCTATGTGGTAGGAGCCGAGGATAGACGATTAAACCATGTTGAGATGATAATGATAGTGTTGACTAAATGTGGTGCAAAAGAAACAACCAACTTGATATATAAATCTAGGCTATATGAGTACAGCTAATTTTGTTCTTGCAAAAGGGCTATTTGACTGTAAATACTGAGTTCATTGAGAAATATCCTACTTTGTTGGACAACATTGAGCTATAAATACCATGTTTCCGCTCAATAATTATATAGGACATTATTTGCCTATGCCAATCAGGAGGGCATGCACACACACACACACACACACACACAGTGTCACACATGCCACACACATACTGATTTAAATTGCCCGAGGGCGTCCTTCTGTGGCAGTTCACAGTACTACAAATCCAAATCCTCTACTCTAGGCCTGCTATATTATATTCTGCAGTTCCCTCATTCAAAAACAAGGGCTCATTAGGGTTCAATACAGAACCATTTCTTATAAGAGTGTAGCCAACATGTTGTAGACAGAGATTGAATGACAAGATGTTTTGTGAATCTCAAGTCTACTGTCTTCTCTTCCTGTTAGTGACTTCCTCAGTTAGAGCAGCCTACATGATTGGAAAATAGGGAACCATCATTCAGTGTTGTATTGGGGCTGTGTGTAGCCCTGCACAAGGTTAGAGATTAAAATGTTGGGAGTGAATTGGCTACTGAATAGCTGCTGGTGTCTACTACCATTACGCCCTTGAGCAAGGCACTTAACCCACAAAATAGCTCTCCATCCAGGGGCTCTGCACAGTGGGTGGGGTTGGGGAAAAGGCAGGCTAGGTACCTATTCTGGAACATAGGATGACTCTCAAAAGACAGCAAGGCACACAACTGACATTCTGTCCATTGCAGCACCTGTCCCTGAAGTTATGCTGGCTAGCCCAGGACATATCTCCTATCCTCCTCCTCTCTTCAAGTCATGGGGGCTAGCCCACAACATATCTTCTCTCCTCCTCCTCTCTTCAAGTCATGGGAGCTAGCCCACAACATATCTTCTCTCCTCCTCCTCTCTTCAAGTCATGGGGGCTAGCCCACGACATATCTTCTCTCCTCTTCCTCTCTTCAAGTCATGGGGGCTAGCCCACGACATATCTTCTCTCCTCTTCCTCTCTTCAAGTCATGGGGGCTAGCCCACAACATATCTTCTCTCCTCCTCCTCTCTTCAAGTCATGGGTGCTAGCACAGGACATATCTTCTCTCCTCCTCCTCTCTTCAAGTCATGGGGGCTAGCCCACAACATATCTTCTCTCCTCCTCCTCTCTTCAAGTCATGGGGGCTAGCCCACAACATATCTTCTCTCCTCCTCCTCTCTTCAAGTCATGGGGGCTAGCCCACAACATATCTTCTCTCCTCCTCCTCTCTTCAAGTCATGGGGGCTAGCCCACAACATATCTTCTCTCCTCCTCCTCTCTTCAAGTCATGGGGGCTAGCCCACAACATATCTCCTCTCCTACTCCTCTCTTCAAGTCATGGGGGCTAGCCCACAACATATCTTCTCTCCTCCTCCTCTCTTCAAGTCATGGGGGCTAGCCCACAACATATCTTCTCTCCTCCTTCTCTCTTCAAGTCATGGGGGCTAGCCCACAACATATCTTCTCTCCTCCTCCTCTCTTCAAGTCATGGGGGCTAGCACAGGACATATCTCCTCTCATCCTCCTCTCTTCTCTGGTCTATTCTCTTCATCTCTTTCGTTCCCTTCTTTCATCATCTCAACCTGCCCAAACACACGTCGACAGATCTCCCACCAAGTCAAAACGGGGACCCGAACCAGCGACCTCTCGGCCACCGGCCCAAGCTCCCAACCACCAGGCCACCAACCATCCAAGATCCCCCCCAAAGTTCCCAGAGAGCTGCCCCTGGCCATCGAGACCCCCCCCCCCCCCGAAAAAAATAATAATAATAATAGTAAATAAATAAATAACCTCTCCTTCCACTAGATGTTGGAGCATCGTTGCGGGATTTGCTTCCATTCAGCCACAAGAGCATTTGTGAGGTCGGGCATTGATGTTGGGCGATTAGGACTCGCTCGCAGTCGACGTTCCAATTAATTCCAAAGGTGTTCGATGAGGTTGAGGTCAGGGCTCTGTGCAGGCCAGTCAATTCATTCCATACCGATCTCAACAAACAATTTCTGTATGGACCTCACTTTGTGCATGGGGGCATTGTCATGCTGAAACAGTAAAGGGCCTTCCCCAAACTGTTGCCACAAAGTTGGAAGCACAGAATCATCTGGAATGTCATTGTATGCTGTAGCGTTAAGATTTCCCTTCACTGGAACTAAGGGGCCTAGCCCGAACCATGAAAAACAGCCCCAGACCATTATTCCTCCTCTACCAAACTTTACAGTTGGCATTATGCATTGGGGCAGGTAGTGTTCTCCTGGCATCCGCCAAACCCAGATTCGTCCATCGGACAGCCAGATGCTGAAGCGTGATTCATCACTCCAGAGAACGTGTTTCCACTGCTCCAGAGTCCAATGGCGGCGAGCTTTACACCACTCCAACCGACGCTCTGCATTGTGCATGGTGATCTTAGGCTTGTGTGCGGCTGCTCGGCCATGGAAACCCATTTCATGAAGCTCCCAATGAACATTTATTGTGCTGACGTTGTTTCCAGAGACAGTTTGGAACTCTGTAGGGAGTGTTCCAACCGAGGACAGATATATTTTTACGCTCTACACGCTTCAGCACTCGGCGGTCCCGTTCTGTGAGCTTGTGTGGCCTTCCACTTCGCGGCTGAGGCGTTGTTGCTCCTAGACGTTTCCACTTCACAATAACAGCACTTACAGTTGACCGGGGCAGCTCTAGCAGTGCGGAAATTTGACGAACTGACTTGTTGGAAAGGTGGCATCCTATGACGGTGTCACGTTGAACGTCACTGAGCTCTTCAGTAAGGCCATTCTACTGCCAATGTTTGTCTATGGAGATTGCATGGCTGTGTGCTCGATTTTATACACCTGTCAGCAATGGTTGTGGCTGAAAAAGCCAAATCCACTAATTTGAAGGGGTGTCCACATACTGCTTTATATATAGTGTATGTCCCTAGGGCATAGGCCAGGACTGCCCAACCCTGTTGTTCAGGTGAATCAGGTTAGTTACAACTGGTGTTGGAGCGAAAACCTACAGGATGGTTGCTCTCCAGGAACAGGGTTGGAGAGCCCTGACCTAGGCTATAGGTAGTCATCCTTAACATTGACTAAACATTGAAGGCAATTGCGTTTCTGGCAACAATGTGGGGTTTTCCAATGGTTGAAGTAACAGAGATTACATTTTAGTCATTTAGCAGACGCTCTTATCCAGAGCGACTTACAGTTAGTGCATACATTATTATTATATATTTTTTTTCATACTGGCCCCCCCGTGGGAATCGAACCCACAACCCTGGCGTTGCAAACGCCATGCTCTACCAACTGAGCTACATCCCTGCCGGCCATTCCCTCCCCTACCCTGGACGACGCTGGGCCCATTGTGCGCCGCCCCATGGGTCTCCCGGTCGCGGCCAGCTACGACAGAGCCTGGATTCGAACCAGGATCTCTAGTGGCACAGCTAGCACTGCGATGCAGTGCCTTAGACCACTGCGCCACTCGGGGACGCAATGGACACAACAAGAAACACTGGTGTTAGGGTACAGTGAAAGACGAGGGAGGGCCTACTGTAATACATTGCCATCAGTTGTAATAAACCCCCATTTCCATGAGTTTCTATTCTTAACATGGTATATAGGCCTATTGTCCTCCTGTGACAATCCCATAAACCGGAGGTTTCTTCAGGAAGCTAGGGGGAGGTCAATTTGGAATAATTCTATGGAATAGTGTATATCCTAGGGTTGGAAAATTCCGCTAACTTACCCAAAATTCCCTGGTTTTCCAGAAATCGCGGTTGGAATATTCCTGGAATCAGGAGGGAATACACTGGAAATCCAGGAATCCTCCAACCAGGGTTTCTCGAAAACCTGGGCACGTCTCAGTGCAACACAAGCTCCAAAGAAAATGGCATCCCTCGCCGTAACTGCAGCGGTATAGGGTCTATCCCACAGGGGGTATGAAAAAAAATTATGGATGCACTAACTGTAAGTCGCTCTGGATAAGAGCGTCTGCTAAATGACTAAAATGTAAATGTAAAATGTATCCATTTTATTTATTCATTTTTATGCCAATTTGTTTTAGATGGAAACGATATAGGCTATATTGTTTGTACTGTTTAATATGCTACGATGGCATCCAGCAGCCACACATAGACCTAACCTACAGAAACTAATGCAGCCACACATAGACCTAACCTACAGAAACTAATGCAGCCACACATAGACCTAACCTACAGAAACTAATGCAGCCACACATAGACCTAACCTACAGAAACTAATGCAGCCACACATAGACCTAACCTACAGAAACTAATGCAGCCACACATAGACCTAACCTACAGAAACTAATGCAGCCACACATAGACCTAACCTACAGAAACTAATGCAGCCACACATAGACCTAACCTACAGAAACTAATGCTGCCACACATAGACCTAACCTACAGAAACTAATGCAGCCACACATAGACCTAACCTACAGAAACTAATGCAGCCACACATAGACCTAACCTACAGAAACTAATGCAGCCACACATAGACCTAACCTACAGAAACTAATGCAGCCACACATAGACCTAACCTACAGAAACTAATGCAGCCACACATAGACCTAACCTACAGAAACTAATGCTGCCACACATAGACCTAACCTACAGAGACTAATGCAGCCACACATAGACCTAACCTACAGAAACTAATGCAGCCACACATAGACCTAACCTACAGAAACTAATGCAGCCACACATAGACCTAACCTACAGAAAGTAATGCAGCCACACATAGACATTGTGAGCTCCTGAGTGGCGCAGTGGTCTAAGGCACTGCATCGCAGTGCTAACTGTGCCACTAGAGATCCTGGTTCGAATCCAGGCTCTGTCGCAGCCGGCCGCGACCGGGAGACTCATGGGCGGCGCACAATTGGCCCAGCGTCGTCCAGGGTAGGGGAGGGAATGGCCGGCAGGGATGTAGATCAGTTGATAGAGCATGGCGTTTGCAACGCCAGCGTTGTGGGTTCGATTCCCACAGGGGGCCAGTATAATTTTTTTTTTTTTTTAAATGCATTCACTAACTGTAAGTCGCTCTGGATAAGAGCGTCTGCTAAATAACTAAAATGTAAATGTAAATAGACATAAACTACAGAAACTAATGCAAAAAGCCAAGATGTGTCGTTTGTTGTTTTTCTTAGTCTACAGATGTAGGATCTTAATTTGAGCCAGTTTTCTACATCAGGAAAATAATCCTGAGGTAACAGGAAATGTGAATTATTATGCAGATTTTAATTAATGGACTTTTTTTGTAGGAGTTGATACATTTTTCGTTAGGGAAATTAAAAACTTTAGAAGCCTTTTTAAACCTCGAATACACTACAACATTCTCAGCAACAAAAGTGTGATCGATTTAAGATCCTACATCTGTAGCTGCTCCCCTGTTCTGTAATTTAGTAGTAGGTTAACAGGTGCGTTCATTCCGGAGCGAGAGGCCTGCATGCATTCAGTCTGAATAATGGCACTTGTCCCTTCTCCAGACCCAACCTGTTCTACCGCTTCACAATAGAATGTAGCCCAACTACACCCTGATGTCAGCTGATCTTCACACAAGGTTTAGTTCTGTTGGTTCATGTTTTCACACAGTAGGCTAGGCACACTCACACTCATTGCTACAGTGCTATAGGCTATGTTGTTGCTCTCCATCTTATAGACTTCAGCTTCTTCTTGAGTAGAGGAACTTTTTCAGGTGAGTCCCTGTTGCAATTTGGGACCAGTGTTTTCCTAGTTGGCTAAATTACACAGCTGGTTTTTTTCTGTATTTGCTTTTCCTGTGGTTGTCTCTTTCAAAGATTGGCTAACCGCATGGTACCTGTATCAGTGCATATCTGAAATGATAACGATGAATCGATATGTCACTTGTCAGATTCAGCAAGTGTAGCCTGGCTCTTCCAACTTTTTTCCACCGAGGTCTGAAGGGCTGCACTTCTAATTGGTTATATTTACTCGCTGTCAAAATGTGCAAATAAATATTCCTCTAGCCATTACCTCTGGAGTTGTCTATGGTCCCTGACTGTCCAGCTTTTGTTTTGATGACTGTTAGCAAGCTGGATTATAAATGTAGTCTATGATAATTTCTACACAGTTTTGATTTGGTTTTAGACATATAAAATCTAATTGAATCTGTTATATGCGCTGAATACAACAGGTGTAGACTTTACTGTGAAATGCTTACTTACAAGCCCTTAACCAACAATGCTGAGTTACAAAGTAAGACCGTTTGGAAATAAAAATAGAACACAATTAATAACAATAACAGCTATATATATATACAGTGGGGAGAACAAGTATTTGATACACTGCCGATTTTGCAGGTTTTCCTACTTACAAAGCATGTAGAGGTCTGTAATTTTTTATCATAGGTACACTTCAACTGTGAGAGACGGAATCTACAACAAAAATCCAGAAAATCACATTGTATAATTTTAAAGTAATTAATTTGCATTTTATTGCATATGACATAAGTATTTGATACATCAGAAAAGCAGAACTTAATATTTGGGACAGAAACCTTTGTTTGCAATTACAGAGATCATACGTTTCCTGTAGGTCTTGACCAGGTTTGCACACACTGCAGCAGGGTTTTTGGCCCACTCCTCCATACAGACCTTCTCCAGATCCTTCAGGTTTCGGGGCTGTCGCTGGGCAATACAGACCTTCAGCTCCCTCCAAAGATTTTCTATTGGGTTCAGGTCTGGAGACTGGCTAGGCCACTCCAGGAACTTGAGATGCTTCTTACGGAGCCACTCCTTAGTTGCCCTGGCTGTGCGTTTCGGGTAGTTGTCATGCTGGAAGACCCAGCCACGACCCATCTTCAATGCTCTTACTGAGGGAAGGAGGTTGTTGGCCAAGATCTCGCGATACATGGCCCCATCCATCCTCCCCTCAATACGGGGCAGTCGTCCTGTCCCCTTTGCAGAAAAGCATCCACAAAGAATGATGTTTCCACCTCCATGCTTCACGGTTGGGATGGTGTTCTTAGGGTTGTACTCATCCTTCTTCTTCCTCCATTCACGGCGAGTGGAGTTTAGACCAAAAAGCTCTATTTTTGTCTCATCAGACCACATGACCTTCTCCCATTCCTCCTCTGGATCATCCAGATGGTCATTGGCAAACTTCAGATGGGCCTGGACATGCGCTGGCTTGAGCAGGGGGACCTTGCGTGCGCTGCAGGATTTTAATCCATGACGGCGTAGTGTGTTACTAATGGTTTTCTTGAGACTGTGGTCCCAGCTCTCTTCAGGTCATTGACCAGGTCCTGCCGTGTAGTTCTGGGCTGATCCCTCACCTTCCTCATGATCATTGATGCCCCACGAGGTGAGATCTTGCATGGAGCCCCAGACCGAGGGTGATTGACCGTCATCTTGAACTTCTTCCATTTTCTAATAATTGCGCCAACAGTTGTTGCCTTCTCACCAAGCTGCTTGCCTATTGTCCTGTAGCCCATCCCAGCCTTGTGCAGGTCTACAATTTTATCCCTGATGTCCTTACACAGCTCTCTGGTCTTGGCCATTGTGGAGAGGTTGGAGTCTGTTTGATTGAGGTTGTGGACAGGTGTCTTTTATACTGATAACAAGTTCAAACAGGTGCCATTAATACAGGTAACGAGTGGACAGAGGAGCCTCTTAAAGAAGAAGTTACAGGTCTGTGAGAGCCAGAAATCTTGCTTGTTTGTAGGTGACCAAATACTTATTTTCCACCATAATTTGCAAATAAATTCATAAAAAATCCTACAATGTGATTTTCTGGATTTCTTTTCTTAATTTGTCTGTCATAGTTGACGTGTACCTATGATGAAAATTACAGGCCTCTCTCATCTTTTTAAGTGGGAGAACTTGCACAATTGGTGGCTGACTAAATACTTTTTTCCCCCACTGTGTATATATATAGCTATATACAAGGAGTACCGGTACAGAGTAAATGTGCAGGGGTACGAGGCAGTTGAGTTAATATGTACATGTGTATTAAAAAATATATATATTACTCAAACCACCAGCGGGCCGGATTGAATTGGCTAAAGGGCCGGACTTGGCCCGCAGGCCGCATGTTTGACACCCCTGAACTGGGTGCTTTACTAAGTATTGTAACATTTGCTTGTTGTATGTATCAAATGAATATTATTCTGGATTCTATTTGGCTATTGCTTCTTTTATGGAGCTTCTTTAACTGGAAATTGTATTTTAATTTGTTAATATCAAGTATTTCAAAGAGTGTTTGCTGTCTGCAATTTGATTAATAAAATATTGAATTTAAATGTATTCTTCACACCTAAAGATAAGAACCCCTGTCCGAAATTATTTTGCAGTGAATGAATGCTCTCTGTCTGTGTATTGTCATGAATCTTGCCCTGGAGGCAGATCTGCAGAGTGGCCACCAGCTGCCACAGCCACGAAGTCATTAAATCAGATTTTAAACCTAACCTTATCCCTAACCTTACCACACTGTTGACCCTAATGCCTAACCCTAACCTTAAATTAAGACCAAAAAGCACATTTTTATTTTAATGAATTTTTATGATATAGCCAATTTTGACTTGCAGCTGAACTATCTAGCGGAAATCGCTCAGTTCTGTTACCAGGGCAACTATTTATGACAATAAACATCAACCTGCGCCAGATGGGCCCTCAATTTCAAGGCTGGTGTAGCAGTTAACAGTGGCTGCTGTACATACTGTATACACCACCCCAGCATGGGTAACAGTGGCTGCTGTACATACTGTATACACCACCCCAGCATGGGTAACAGTGGCTGCTGTACATATACACCACCCCAGCATGGGTAACAGTGGCTGCTGTACATACTGTATACACCACCACAGCATGGGTAACAGTGGCTGCTGTACATACTGTATACACCACCCCAGCATGGGTAACAGTGGCTGCTGTACATACTGTATACACCACCACAGCATGGGTAACAGTGGCTGCTGTACATATACACCACCCCAGCATGGGTAAAAGTGGCTGCTGTACATATACACCACCCCAGCATGGGTAACAGTGGCTGCTGTACATATACACCACCCCAGCATGGGTAACAGTGGCTGCTGTACATATACACCACCCCAGCATGGGTAACAGTGGCTGCTGTATATACTGTATACACCACCCCAGCATGGGTAACAGTGGCTGCTGTACATACTGTATACACCACCCCAGCATGGTACCAATCTGGACCCCACTGCTATTCTGCATCTTTATCCCCCTGTTGTTAACTACTATTGCTGTCTTAATAAAGTGACAATCATGGGGGATATATAAATATATATATATATATATATATATGTATGTATATATACAGTGAGGGAAAAAAGTATTTGATCCCCTGCTGATTTTGTACGTTTCCCCACTGACAAAGAAATTATCAGTCTATAATTCTAATGGTAGGTTTATTAAAACAGTGAGAGACAGAATAACAACAAAAAAATCCAGAAAAACGCATGTCAAAAATGTTATAAATTGATTTGCATTTTAATGAAGGAAATAAGTATTTGACCCCCTCTCAATCTGAAAGATTTCTGGCTCCCAGGTGTCTTTTATACAGGTAACGAGCTGAGATTAGGAGCACACTCTTAAATGGAGTGCTCCTAATCTCAGTTTGTTACCTGTATAAAAGACACCTGTCCACAGAAGCAATCAATCAATCAGATTCCAAACTCTCCACCATGGCCAAGCCAAAGAGCTCTCCAAGGATGTCAGGGACAAGATTGTAGACCTACACAAGGCTGGAATGGGCTACAAGACCATCGCCAAGCAGCTTGGTGAGAAGGTGACAACAGTTGGTGCGATTATTCGCAAATGGAAGAAACACAAAATAACTGTCAATCTCCCTCGGCCTGGGGCTCCATGCAAGATCTCACCTCGTGGAGTTGCAATGATCATGAGAACGGTGAGGAATCATCCCAGAACTACACGGGAGGATCTTGTCAATGATCTCAAGGCAGCTGGGACCATAGTCACCAAGAAAACAATTGGTAACACACTACGCCGTGAAGGACTGAAATCCTGCAGCGCCCGCAAGGCCCCCTGCTCAAGAAAGCACATATACAGGGCCATCTGAAGTTTGCCAATGAACATCTGAATGATTCAGAGGAGAACTGGGTGAAAGTGTTGTGGTCAGATGAGACCAAAATCGAGCTCTTTGGCATGAACTCAACTCGCCGTGTTTGGAGGAGGAGGAATGCTGCCTATGACCCCAAGAACACCATCCCCACCGTCAAACATGGAGGTAGAAACATTATGCTTTGGGGGTGTTTTTCTGCTAACAACTTCACTGAATCAAAGGGACGATGGACGGGGCCATGTACCGTCAAATCTTGGGTGAGAACCTCCTTCCCTCAGCCAGGGCATTGAAAATGGGTCGTGGATGGGTATTCCAGCATGACAATGACCCAAAACACACGGCCAAGGCAACAAAGGAGTGGCTCAAGAAGAAGCACATTAAGGTCCTGGAGTGGCCTAGTCAGTCTCCAGACCTTAATCCCATAGAAAATCTGTGGAGGAAGCTGAAGGTTCGAGTTGCCAAACGTCAGCCTCGAAACCTTAATGACTTGGAGAAGATCTGCAAAGAGGACTGGGACAAAATCCCTCTTGAGATGTGTGCAAACCTGGTGGCCAACTACAAGAAACGTCTGACCTCTGTGATTGCCAACAAGGGTTTTGCCACCAAGTACTAAGTCATGTTTTGCACAGGGGTCAAATACTTATTTCCCTAATTAAAATGTAAATCAATTTATAACATTTTTGACATGCGTTTTTCTGGATTGTTTTGTTGTTATTCTGTCTCTCACTGTTCAAATAAACCTACCATTAAAATTATAGACTGATCATGTATTTGTCAGTGGGCAAACATACAAAATCAGCAGGGGATCAAATACTTTTTTCCCTCATTGTATATATATATATACAGTGGGGAGAACAAGTATTTGATACACTGCCGATTTTGCAGGTTTTCCTACTTACAAAGCATGTAGAGGTCTGTAATTTTTATCATAGGAACACTTCAACTGTGAGAGACAGAATCTAAAACAAAAATCCAGAAAATCACATTGTATGATTTTTAAGTAATTAATTTGCATTTTATTGCATGACATAAGTATTTGATACATCAGAAAAGCAGAACTTAATATTTGGTACAGAAACCTTTGTTTGCAATTACAGAGATCATACGTTTCCTGTAGGTCTTGACCAGGTTTGCACACACTGCAGCAGGGATTTTGGCCCACTCCTCCATACAGACCTTCTCCAGATCCTTCAGGTTTCGGGGCTGTCACTGGGCAATACGGACTTTCAGCTCCCTCCAAAGATTTTCTATTGGGTTCAAGTCTGGAGACTGTCATGCTGATCCCTCACCTTCCTCATGATCATTGATGCCCCACGAGGTGAGATCTTGCATGGAGCCCCAGACCGAGGGTGATTGACCGTCATCTTGAACTTCTTCCATTTTCTAATAATTGCGCCAACAGTGGTTGCCTTCTCACCAAGCTGCTTGCCTATTGTCCTGTAGCCCATCCCAGCCTTGTGCAGGTCTACAATTATATCCCTGATGTCCTTACACAGCTCTCTGGTCTTGGCCATTGTGGAGAGGTTGGAGTCTGTTTGATTGTGTGGACAGGTGTCTTTTATACAGGTAACGAGTTCAAACAGGTGCAGTTAATACAGGTAATGAGTGGAGAACAGGAGGGCTTCTTAAAGAAAAACTAACAGGTCTGTGAGAGCCGGAATTCTTACTGGTTGGTAGGTGATCAAATACTTATGTCATGCAATAAAATGCAAATTAATTACTTAAAAATCATACAATGTGATTTTCTGGATTTTTGTTTTAGATTCCATCTCTCACAGTTGAAGTGTACCTATAATAAAAATGACAGACCTCTACATGCTTTGTAAGTAGGAAAACCTGCAAAATCGGCAGTGTATCAAATACTTGTTCTCCCCACTGTATATATATATTTATTATTATTATTCTAAGATATTATTTTTTACATTTGTTAGTTTTTTCTTCTTCTTCCAGTGGGCGGAGGGAAGGATGAAGGCAGAGCAGGAAGCTCCTCCCCCCTCCCCGGGACTGGAGGGTTCGGCGATCCGGTGTCGGGAAGTGTGTCGGTCGTACGGGAAACTCAAAGTCCTGAGTAACCTCAACTTGACCGTGAAACAGGGATACATGTGAGTAAATAACACTGACACTACAAAAAAATTCACGCTTAATGTCCAAATCATCTATAAGTAAGTTCATTGAGTGACACTATTACGTTTTAGACAGGGACGGCTTGTTCAATAGGGCGATATGGGCGACGCACTGCCAAACGGGAAAAGGAAGGGATTTTTTTTCTAATCAATTATATCACGGCAACAGCAGTTATCAGTGTTCACGTCTGATCTGCCAGCCACTAAATGTCAAATCAGGCTAAAGTCGTGCTTCAAATGGCCCCGCCCGTTTTTGGGGCGATTTCAGTCAAGTTGAAAATCGCCCAGAAGTCTCTCATAGCCTGTCATGTAAAATCTATTTTTTTCACATTTCAAAGCTTTCAATACATTCTCTATGGGTGTCTGTGGGCTTGCACTTACGCGCTTTCGTCATACGTGACGTAACGTTGAACGTAACTAAGACAATGGCGGCTAGAAGCGTCTCTGTTGCGACCTGCAGTGCGGCGTTATTTTATGTTTTTAATTTGTAGACTTAGTTTACAAACATTCTGCCAACCATGGATTTCCAGTGGTTGGTTTTGGACTGATCTTGTTGATCGTGTACATACCCGCTACGAACGGACTAAATAATGAAAACGCTGCTGGCAGCTGAATCCCAATACAGCTGGGAGACTTGGCTGGATGAGTCCCGGACAGAGAAGTGGAGCCGGCCACCTTCACCCTGGTCAGAGCGGACCGCGATCCTGGTAAGAGAGCGACTCTGTACCCCGACATTGAACTGCTTTCTGTGTCATTGCGACCTTACTATCAATTCAATTCAATTTAAGGGCTTTATTGGCATGGGAAACGTGTGTTAACATTGCCAAAGCAAGGGAAGTAGATAGTAAACAAAAGTGAAATAAACAATAAATATTAACAGTAAACATTACACTCAGAAGTTTCAAAAGAATAAAGACATTTCAAATGTCATATTATGTATATATACAGTGTTGTTACAATGTGCAAATAGTTAAAGTACAAATGGGAAAATAAATAAACATAAATATGGGTTGTATTTACAATGGTGTTTGTTCTTCACTGGTTGCCCTTTTCTTGTGGCAACAGGTCACAAATCTTGCAGCTGTGATGGCACACTGTGGTTTTTCACCCAGTAGATAAGGGAGTTTATCAAAATTGGGTTTGTTTTCGAATTCTTTGTGGATCGCTGTAATCTGAGGGAAATATGTGTCTCTAATATGGTCATACATTTGGCAGGAGGTTAGGAAGTGCAGCTCAGTTTCCACCTCATTTTGTGGGCAGTGTGCACATAGCCTGTCTTCTCTTGAGAGCCAGGTCTGCCTACGGCGGCCTTTCTCAATAGCAAGGCTATGGTCACTGAGTCTGTACATAGTCAAAGCTTTCATTAAGTTTGGGTCAGTCACAGTGGTCAGGTATTCTGCCACTGTGTACTCTCTGTTTAGGGCCAAATAGCATTCTAGTTTGCTCTGTTTTTTTGTTTGTTCTTTCCAATGTGTCAAGTAATTCTCTTTTTGTTTTCTCATGATTTGGTTGGGTCTAATTGTGTTGTTGTTGTTGTTGTTGTTGTTGTCCTGGGGCTGTGTGGGGTCTGTTTGTGTTTGTGAACAGAGGCCCAGGACAAGCTTACTTAGGGGACTCTTCTCCAAGTTCATCTCTCTGTAGGTGATGGCTTTGTTATGGAAGGTTTGGGAATCGCTTCCTTTTAAGTGGTTACTATCTGCCCCGTGAGTTCCCCCAATTGTTTGTTACCGTTGTGTACTGTTGATAATCACAAGTTTACTGGAGAACTGAGACCAAGTAGAGACTTTGGACAGGGTGGATATGGTATAATAAAGGCAGTTTATTCAGAGGTAAAGATATCTGGAATCGCGTGCACGGACTCGTGCACGTGTGTAGGTCACCTAAATCATCAGAAAAATTGCCCCTCCTGAGAATTTTTTCAGGAGCCGCCACTGGTTTTAGATACTTTATAATACCTTTGACTTGCATTGGATTTGTGCCACAAATGCTAAAAAGTTAGCATTTGAAACGATGGCCAGGTAAACAAAACCAAAAGCATGGATTGGTCCATAGACTGCTTACAGGGCAAGGAACAAGGCCGGATTACCAAACGGGCACGCAGGGCACGTGCCCCGGGGCCCCCGTTTTGTTTATAGCTAAATGTGTAGAATTGCAGGAAATTAGCTTTTAAACTGTAAAGTTCTCTCTCAGCCTCACGGCAAAAAGTGTAGAATTGCAGGAAATTAGCTTTAAAACAGCAAAATATTCTGTCAGCCTCATGACAAAATGTTCTGTTAGCCTCATGACAAAATGTTCTGTTAGCCTCATGACAAAATGTTCTGTTAGCCTCATGACAAAATGTTCTGTTAGCCTCATGACAAAATGTTCTGTTAGCCTCATGACAAAATGTTCTGTTAGCCTCATGACAAAATGTTCTGTTAGCCTCATGACAAAATGTGTAGAATAGCATTATATAACTGCACATTTGTTCAACACAAAATGTGTTGAAATCCAGGAAGTTAGCTGTTTTCCAGGACCCCAAATGCGGTAGTCCGGCCCTGGTAAGGAAACCGATATATCATTTTGTAATTTGGGTCTATCTCTTTAAAGCCTAATGATAATCTATACCTTTAAACAAGTACACAACATAATTGCATTCTTGCGTTGCGCACTTGCGTATGGTATAAATTAGGCTTCACTTGGATTTTCACGTGAATCATGCATTGATGTCATTGGAAGTTTTAATGCGAGTTACAATTAGGATTCAGACCATACTGAGTAATAAAGGTAGCAATGCTATCATGCTATCATACTATAGTACAGGGGTATTCAACTCTTACCCGACGAGGTCCGGAGCCTGCTGGTTTTCTGTTCTACCTAATAAATAATTGCACACACCTGGTGTCACAGGTCTAAACCAGTCCCTGACTAGAGGGGATCAATGAGAAACTTGCTTTGAGGTCCAGAGTTGAGTTTGAGGGCTATAGTAGATATCTATGGTTTAGCGCTTATGTGAAAAAATAAATACCCAAAATGCTCTTCTCGCTTATCTTGCAGCTACGGCCTGCTGGGTCCGAGTGGGTGTGGGAAGACCACACTGTTGAAATGCATTCTGGGAACACTGAAGATCTCCCGAGGGCACATCAGCGTGTTGGGGAAGCCACCCGCATTTCCTGGTCACCAGGTCCCTGGGAGGATGGTGGGGTACATGCCACAGGTAAACTGTTACCTTATAGGAACACTACATACCACAGGTAAACTGTTACCTTATAGGAACACTACATACCACAGGTAAACTGTTACCTTATGGGAACACTACATACCACAGGTAAACTGTTACCTTATAGGAACACTACATACCACAGGTAAACTGTTACCTTATAGGAACACTACATACCACAGGTAAACTGTTACCTTATAGGAACACTACATACCACAGGTAAACTGTTACCTTATAGGAACACTACATAGCACAGGTAAACTGTTACCTTATAGGAACACTACATACCACAGGTAAACTGTTACCTTATAGGAACACTACATAGCACAGGTAAACTGTTACCTTATAGGAACACTACATACCACAGGTAAACTGTTACCTTATAGGAACACTACATACCACAGGTAAACTGTTACCTTATAGGAACACTACATACCACAGGTAAACTGTTACCTTATAGGAACACTACATACCACAGGTAAACTGTTACCTTATGGGACCACTACATACCACAGGTAAACTGTTACCTTATAGGAACACTACATACCACAGGTAAACTGTTACCTTATAGGAACACTACATACCACAGGTAAACTGTTACCTTATAGGAACACTACATACCACAGGTAAACTGTTACCTTATAGGAACACTACATACCACAGGTAAACTGTTACCTTATAGGAACACTACATACCACAGGTAAACTGTTACCTTATAGGAACACTACATACCACAGGTAAACTGTTACCTTATAGGAACACTACATACCACAGGTAAACTGTTACCTTATAGGAACACTACATACCACAGGTAAACTGTTACCTTATAGGAACACTACATACCACAGGTAAACTGTTACCTTATAGGAACACTACATAGCACAGGTAAACTGTTACCTTATAGGAACACTACATACCACAGGTAAACTGTTACCTTATAGGAACACTACATACCACAGGTAAACTGTTACCTTATAGGAACACTACATACCACAGGTAAACTGTTACCTTATGGGACCACTACATACCACAGGTAAACTGTTACCTTATAGGAACACTACATACCACAGGTAAACTGTTACCTTATAGGAACACTACATACCACAGGTAAACTGTTACCTTATAGGAACACTACATACCACAGGTAAACTGTTACCTTATAGGAACACTACATACCACAGGTAAACTGTTACCTTATAGGAACACTACATACCACAGGTAAACTGTTACCTTATAGGAACACTACATACCACGCCAGCCGCACATTGGTGCGGCTGGCTTCCGGGTTAAGCGAGCAGTGTGTCAAAAAGCAGTGCTGCTTGGCAGGGTCGTGTTTCGGAGGACGCATGGCTCTCGACCGTCGCCTCTCCTGAGTCCGTACGGGAGTTGCAGCGATGGGACAAGACTGTAACTACCAATTGGATATCACGAAATTGGGGAGAAAAAGGGATAACAAGTACAACAACAAACATTTAAAAAAATTAAAATAAAGGCTACTTCATATTCATCATGTCCAGCACCACCCCAACATCAACATCTCTGAAAATGGCGCGTTTCTATGTTTTGTAGAAATGATGACGATGAAATCATCAGTGTGCATCATGTGATTTTAGCCAATTATGAGCAGGCATTGCCTACTAATTGTCTACTTATCTTCATCTGTCTTGTTTTACTACAAAACATAGAAACGAGCCATTTTCACATGTGTTGATGTTGGGGTGGTGCTGGACATGATGAATATGAAGCTGAACATTTTTGACATTTCCCTTTAAGGTAAGGGTTAGGGTTTAGGTTAGGGGTTAGGGTAAGGGTTTAGGGTAGGGGTTAGGGTTTAGGGTAGGGGTTAGGGTTAGGGGTTAGGGGTAAGGGTTTAGGTTAGGGGTTAGGGTTTAGGTTAGGGGTTAGGCTTAGGGTAGGGGTTAGGGTTTAGGTTAGGGTTAGGGTTTAGGGTAGGGGTTATGGTTAGGGTTTAGGGTAGGATTTAGGGGTTGGGGTTAGGGTTAGGGTTTAGGGTTAGGGTTATGGTTTAGGGTAGGGGTTAGGGTTACGGTTACGGTTTAGAGTTAGGTTTAGGGTAGGGGTTAGGGGTAGGGTTTAGGGTAGGGTTTGGGTTTAGGTTATGGTTTAGGATAGGGATTAGTGTTTAGGTTAGGGTTTAGGGTAGGGGTTAGGGTTAGGGTTTAGGATAGGGGTTAGGGTTTAGGGTAAGGGTTAGGGTTTAGGGCAGGGGTTAGGGTTTAGGGTAGGGGTTAGGGTTTAGGGTAGGGGTTAGGGTTACGGTTTAGGGTAGGGGTTAGGGTAAGAGTTTAGGGTAGGGGTTAGGGTTTAGGGTAGGGGTTAGGGTTAGGATTTAGGGTAGGGGTTAAGATTAGGGTTATGGTTTAGGGTAGAGGTTAGGGGTAGGGTTTAGGGTAGGGGTTAGGGTAGGGGTTAGGGTTTAGGGTAGAGGTTAGGGTTTAGAGTAGGGGTTACGGTTTAGGGTAGGGGTTAGGGTTAGTGTAGGGGTTAGGGTTAGGGTAGGGGTTAAGGTTAAGGTTAGGGTTTAGGGTAGGGGTTAAGGTTTAGGGTAGGGGTTAATGTTAGGGTTTAGGGTAGGGGTTAAGGTTAAGGTTAGGGTTATGGTTTAGGGTAGGGATGTCCCAAGGAGCCCAGATAGCACTGACCCTTCCCCTATGGTACAGAAGAGGTATCTCGTGTTACTGGCCTGCTGTACTAGACTCCTAACTTTGGCCGGGCATGAGACTCTCCTTTTCAGTTAAATGAAACCTGGGCATAAGCAGCACAACTCCACGAGAGGTTCACGCTGCTCAGCGTAAAATTACGTTCTGGTTCTATTTCCAAGATTTCAACTAACAGCTCACAGCCGAACACTTGATTAACACAACACACCAAAACACAACACACACCATGACATAACATTGTGTTCTCCTTTAGGACCTGGCGTTGTACAATGAATTTTCTATCAGTGACACCCTGACGTTCTTCGGCCGGATCCACGGCCTGACAACTATGGACACCCAGGCACGCATGGACTTCCTGGTGGACTTCCTGGACCTACCTCACAACAGCAGCCTGGTTGGAAAACTCAGGTAACTAGGGTTGCAAAATTCCAGTAGCTTTCCACAAATTCCCAGGATTTCCAGAAACCTTTCGGAGCATTATTAACCCGATGCCCTTTTATTAGGGATCAGGCCCTAAGGAGCTGTAATAAATCATACCTCCATGCTATCTCCCTTACAACCCTGCATATACAGCATGGTGGTTCCACTAAATAACTGCCTTTTGCGTCCCTTTGATATTTATATTTTAAGTAGAAAATGTGCACCAATATTGAATTTGAAAAGCCTGTGATATGAAATGAAGTGTCCTCTAATATAGACCGCATGGAGATTTCAAGAAATCATTTTTAATATGAATAAAAGCATACTAAAGTGACAAAATTCTGAGTTTTTCCGTCAACCCTGTGTCACTTCTAGGAAGATTTTAACGCACTTAACCCCAACATTTCTCCAAGTGTCACCATCATTGTAAAGCCCTAGTTAAGTTGTTGCTTTGACAAAGTAATTTCTGAAGATTATTATTTATTTCATGTGATAAGTGATTCATTTACGTCTGTCCCTCATTTTAAGGTCAACCCTGTTTCGTGAACTGACCTCTTTTAATATGGTGAAACGATTCCTTTTAAAATATTATTTTCAAAATAATCATTGAACATATAATAGTCAAATCATAGAGTAAAAGCAGGGGAGCTGTTTTGACTCTTTTTAGCCATTTTCTGGTGTTTTGTGGTGGGAAATGGCATGGCAGCAAGACTTTGGGGTGACCATCGATCATTGTGAATGGGAAGCTATTCCCACTAATGTCCCCCCGAAAATAATGAGATTCCATAAATAAATTACAAACTACACCTGTTGTCACAAGTAAATATGACCCTGCATATTCTGGGGAATGTCCCAAATATAAGCAGCATTTGGTACTTACGCACATCTCTTCTGATACTGTCCTGTAGTTCATGGTTTAGGGAAAGGGACATGTCAAACATTTTGGGCTCTCCAGTGGGTCTTCATCTCCTCCCCCTGTGCCTAGACTGTCTGAGTCCCAAATGGCACCACATCCCCTATATAGTGCACTACTTTTGACCAGTGGTGCACTATATAGGGAATAGGGTGCCATCTGGGACTCATTATATCCCATTGTGATCTAGGGGGAAAAGTAGACTACAACCAAGATAGATAGAAAGAGAAGGAAACCGTTTCCCCCTGAGTGAGTTTCTGTTTGTGTGTCACAGGCTTCTGTCATGTAAAAATGCTGTGGAGTCAGCCCGCCCTGTCTGAAACTAAGTAGGTCAATGCCAAAAAGAAGGCTCCCTCACTGCCATCAAAACAACTCCTCAATGATCGCTTATTACTCTTAGATGTAAAAGTAAGACTACACAGCAAATTGTCCAGTGTTACCTAGCGTTGATTTTTCAGTGTAACATTTCTAGTGTTGATTCAGGAGTTAAATTAACACTCAGTGGTGTTAAATAACCCCAGTGTTGGTGTTAATAACCAGAGTTGCTGAAATGGTTGTTCGAGTTTATTGCTTTAGGTAGTCTGATATTTTAGTCTTCCCAACCCTGGCAGTCATTCACAACGCAGGGGGGGAATCCCAATGGGAATGACACATCACAGCATAATGTGACTTGTAGGCCTGATGTGGCCTGTAAACCATGAGTTTCAGATCACTGTATTAGGGTAAAATGAGGTGCTCAAAATAAGGCCTTAGGAAACGTGTATTGTATTGTCTTAAAGGGATACTTCAGGATTTTGGCAATGAGGCCCTTTACGTTTTTTATGTCTCTGTGTCCAGTAAGAAGGAAGTTAGAGGTAGTTTCGCGAGCCACTAGCGTTAGCACAATGACTGGAAGTCTATGGGTATCTGCTAGCATTGCCAAAATCCTGAAGTATCCCTTTAAATTATTTTTATGTAATGATAACATATTCACTTAGGACAGGGATGGGCAACTGGTGGCCCATGGGCCGTCTGTGGCCCCCCTCTTTTAAAGGCCCTCGGATAAAAAAAAACTGGGGGGAGGGGGGACTCAGTCGGGGTCTCAACTTACTATTGCGAGGTAGAATAGTAGAATACACAAGGTGCCATTTAGACATGTGGTTGAGGATCAACAGTTTTTCTGTTGTTATGTCAGTCACTGATAGTCACTCAGTTAGCCCATGTCAGCTGACCATTTTAGATTGGTAAGTTAGTCTAGCGGCCATGTGATGAGGTGTGAATGACGGAGTCAGGCGCAGGAGGTAAAAACACCGAAATCCAGAGTTTATTCAGTGTACATGAATAAAGTGCAGTAAGCGTCAAAACGAAACTAGCACAAGGGAAAAATCCACCTTGGCTACATACAAGGAAAGAGTAGCTCAACCGAGCTACTCACTCTCACAATGAACAATCACTCACAAAGGACAAGGGGGCAGAGGGAACACTTATACACAGACTAATGAGGGAATGAGTACCAGGTGTGTGTGATTGACAAGACAAGACAAGACAAATGGAGTGATGATAAATGGAGCGGTAGTGGCTAGTAAGTCGGTGACGACGAACGCCGAAACCTGGCCGAGCAAGGAGGAGGGGCAGCCTCGGCTGGAATTTGTGACAGGCCAGCTATCTAAACTTGTAGTAATCAAGGCCGGGGGCCCCCCCATTGATTTTGTAAGTCAGTCTCACTCAGATATCATATAAAAAACGGCAAACATTTCTCTCCACCCTACAGCGGAGGACAGAAACGGAGGGTGTCTCTAGGAGCAGCCTTACTTCAAAACCCCCAGTTATTGATTCTGGATGAACCCACAGTCGGGGTGGACCCTGTGCTGAGAGCCAAGTATGTATTGACCACACACACACACACACACATCCAACCAAAGCCAAACTGTGAAAACCCAACTATTGTACCCAACCTCATGCCTTCAAAGACCAGCCTCACACCTTTCTCTGAAGAGCCATGCCGCCTCCTGTTCACACCTTTCTCTGAAGAGCCATGCCGCCTCCTGTTCACACCTTTCTCTGAAGAGCCATGCCGCCTCCTGTTACCCTAAAACACAAGTAAACCTGCACTCCTGGGAACATATTCACAAAGTGTCTCAGAGTAGGAGTGCTGATCTAGGAGCAGAACCCCCCTCTTATTCTTTATGATTTAAAAGGCTAAACAGATCCCAGACCAGCACTCTGAGATGCTTTATGGATAAAGAAAACCCAACCAAAGCAGTGTTTCCCAGGTAATCCCAGGCAGGTCGTAAGGGTAAGACTGCATCCCAAATGCCACCCTATTCCCTATGTGGTGAACTACTTTTGACCGGGGCCCATAGGGTGACCTTTTGGGACACCGACTAAGACATTGTTATGGTGGTAATCAAATCGTATCTGCACAAAGTTAGTTTATTCTTTGTGTGATGCTGAAAGGTGGTTCACTGAACCGCACTCATGTGATGAGTAACCTTGCATGAGACCTCAAGACCTGCGTTAGCTTCCCAAGCTAATGCCTAGGCTTTAGCTCAATGGGATATGCAGTCTTGTGGTACGCAGATGATCACATTTGCACACTCTCTCTCTGTATCTCTTCTGCTCGAGGTACAGTACGACATTGTCCCAAACAGCACCCCATTTCTTGTATAGTGCAATACTTTTGACCAGAGCCCTGGTTAAAAAAGTGCACTTTATAGGGAATAGGATGCCATTTGGGACTCCCAATAGATGTTGCCCTTAAACTGAGTTGTGTCATGTCCCTGTAGGATCTGGCAGCATCTAGTAGATATTGTGAAAACTGGAAAAGTGTCGGTCGTCATCACCACTCACTACATAGAGGAGGCCAGGCAAGCCAATGTGGTAAGACACACACACTCTATATATATATATATATATAGACAACTACCTACTGACAGACAACGACCTGCTGACAGACAACGACCTGCTGACAGACAACGACCTGCTGACAGACAACGACCTGCTGACAGACAACGACCTGCTGACAGACAACGACCTGCTGACAGACAACTACCTACTGACAGACAACTACCTACTGACAGACAACTACCTACTGACAACTACCTACTGATAGACATGCCATATGTTTTCATATCTGCTTAGAGGTTCATTTGAGCAAACATTGGTTGTCTCTATACTGTCTCTATACTCTATAACAGTCTCTATACTGTCTCTATACTCTATAACAGTCTCTATACTGGATCTATACTCTATAACAGTCTCTATACTGTCTCTATACTCTACAACAGTCTCTATACTGGATCTGGAATCAAATGTTTAATGTTTGGTGACAGTATAGAATGTCACCTTTTATTTGAGTGTATTTTAATACATATCTGTTTTACCGTAGAGAAATGAAAGCACTTTATGTATCTAGTCCCCCCATTTAAAGAAGTTCCTTGCACACAATGACTACATCAAGCTTGTGACTGTACAAACTTTTTGGATGCATTTTAAGTTTGTTTTGGTTTCGTTTCGGATTACTATCACGTTTCAGGAGAAGACCCAGATGCAGACAGTGTCGAAGTAACAAAAGTTTATTACAAAAACAGGGAGCACGCAAACGACAGGTCAAGGTCAGAGGTCAAGGTCATCCAGATCAGAGTCCAAAAGGTACAGAACGGCAGGCAGGAGACAACGGGCTGTGAGACATGGGTTTGGTCCTAGACACATGTAAAGTGGGATGTATACGGAGGGTACGGGGAAACAGAAGACGAACAGCAGAGGGGCTAATGATCTTGGAGATGAGGAAAGGGCCGATAAACCGGGGGGAAAATTTGCGGGACTCCACCTGGAGGGGCAGATCTCGGGTGGACAGCCATACCTTCTACCCGAGATGATACCGGGGAGCCGAGGTCCGGTGGTGGTCCGCTTTTTGTCGATACCTGGAGGTGGTCTTGAGAAGAGCCGACTGGGCTGTCCTCCAGGTACGACGACAGCGGCGGACAAACATCTGGACCGAGGGTATGCCGACCTCTTCCTCTTGCTCTGGGAAGAGTGGGGGCTGATAACCAAGGGAACACTCAAAGGGTGAAAGACCCGTGGCAGAGCAGGGAAGGGTGTTGTGGGCGTATTCGACCCACACTAGTTGCTGGCTCCAGGTGGTGGGGTTGGCGGAGACCAGGCAGCGCAGAGTCGTCTCCAGGTCTTGGTTAGCTCGTTCCGACTGGCCGTTGGACTGAGGGTGGAAACTGGAGGATAGGCTGGCCGACGACCCAATGAGTGTGCAGAACACCTTCTAGAACCGGGACGAGAACTGAGGACGCCGGTCGGAGACCATGTCCACTGGGAGTCCATGGATCTGGAAGACGTGCTGCACCATGAGCTGGGCCGTCTCTTTGGCGGAGTGGGCGGCTTTGGAAAACCAGTCCATAACTGTCAGGATGGTAGTATTGCCATCAGACGGGGGAAGACCCGTGACAAAGTCCAGGGATATGTGAGACCAGGGACGGTGAGGAACAGGCAGAGGTTGGAGGAGACCAGCCGGAGCTTGCAGAGGAGTCTTGTTCTGCGCACAGATCATGCAGGCGGCGAGGAACGCGGAGACGTCAGGAACCATGGTAGACCACCAAAAGCGTTGTCACACAAAGGCCAGGGTCCGACGGGAGCACGGGTGGCAGGCCAGCCTGGAGGGGTGGGCCCACTCCAGGACTGAGGAGTGGACAGCGTCAGGAACAAACATCCGGTTATCTGCCCCCCCCCCCCCCCTCTATTCCCTCTATGCCGTCACCAAGCACGAGGTGGGAAGGATGGTCTCAGATTCCGGGGGTGTAGCCGCGGGGCTATAGCGGCGTGACAGCGCATCTGGCTTGACATTCTTGGATCCCGGTCGGGATGAGAGGGAGAAGTTGAACCGGGTGAAAAGCAGGGCCCACCTAGCTTGCCTGGAATTGAGACGCTTGGCGGTGTGGAGATATTGCAAGTTCAATGAACAGATGCTCCGCCCCCTCCAGCCAGTTCCTCCACTCTTCCAACGCCATCTTCACCGCGAGAAGCTCACGATTCTCCACATCGTAATTCCTCGCCGTGGTGTTGATGCGATGGGAGAAGAAGGCGCAGGTTGTAATTTGAGGTCCAGGGCCGAACGCTGGGACAGGACCACCCCCAACTCCGACATCCGAAGCATCGGCCTCCACCATGAACTGGCGGGACGGCCGTCAGGATGAACCAAGATGGGAGCAGTGGTGAAACGGTGTTTGAGGTCCCGGAACGCCCGGTCAGCAGCTGGGGACCATGTGAACGGAACCTTGGGAGAGGTGAGTGCAGACAAGGGGGAGGCCAGGGTGCTGTAACCTCGGATAAAGCGGAGATAAAAGTTGGCGAACCCCAGGAAACGTTGCAGCTGGACTCTGGATGTAGGCTGGGGCCAATCCACTACCGCTCTCACCTTCCCAGGATCCACTTCCTGCTGCGATGATGTAGCCCAGGAAGGGGATGGTGGAGCGATGGAATTCTAATTTCTCTGCTTTCACAAAAAGCTGGTGCTCCAGGAGGCGTTGGAGGACCTGTCGGACATGGAGCACGTGTTCTTGTGGTCCTCTGTAGCTCAGCTGGTAGAGCACGGCGCTTGTAACGCCAAGGTAGTGGGTTCAATCCCCGGGACCACCCATACACAAAAATGTATGCACGCATGACTGTAAGTCGCTTTGGATAAAAGCGTCTGCTAAATGGCATATTATTATTATTATTATTATTATTATTATTCTTGGGCGGAGCGGGAGAAGACAAGGATGTCGTCGAGGTAGACAAAGACGAACCGATTCAACATGTCACGGAGAACATCATTAACCAGGGCCTGGAATAGAGCTGGAGCATTGAAGAAACCTGCGCCGGCGGGGAAGGCAGATGGACGGATGAACCCGGCAGCTAGGGAGTCCTCAATGTAGGTCTCCATAGCCTTGGTCTCCGGACCCGACAGCAAGTACAGTCGTCCCCGGGGCGGAGTGGTGCCTGGGAGAAGATAGATTCCGCAGTCGGAGGGTCGGTGCAGCAGAAGCGAAGTGGCCCGGGCATTACTGAACACCTCCCGGAGGTCCTGGTACTCTGCGGGAATGGCAGAGAGGTCTGAGGCAACTCGCTCCTACCGGTGAGCCTGGTCTTTTAGTGGACAGGTGGATACAAAATGACCAGTCGTCCCGCAATACAGACAACTCTTCGTGTGAAGCCTGTATTGCCGTTCGGCTGGAGACAGCCTAGCTCTGCCTAGTTGCATCGGCTCGGGAAGAGGTGAATCGACAGACTTCGGGGACTTCCGGGATGCCTCGGAGGCGAGGTGGAATCCTTCCTCTCCTTCCTTCGTTCCCGTAGTCGCCCATCGATCCGAAAGGTCAAGGCGATGAGCGAGTCGAGATCAGTCGGTAGTTCCCGGGCTGCAAGCTCGTCCTTTACTTCCTCCAATACTCTGTGCAGGAACATGTCGAACAGCGCTTCTGGGTTCCAGGCACACTCAGCTGCCAACATGCGGAAATCCACTGCATAGTCTGCCACACTGCGGGATTGTTGCCGAAGCTGGAGTAACTTCCGGGCAACCTCACTCCCGGACAATGGAGCATCGAAAACCTTCTTTACCTCCTGCATGAACTCCTCCAGACTGAAGCATACGGCCGACTGTTGTTCCCACACTGGCGTAGCACAGGCGAGAGCCCTCCCGGACATCAGCGTGATGAGGTACGCCATCTTAGAGCGGTCCGAGGGGAAGGAGGAGGGCTGCAGCTCGATGTTGAGCGAACACTGAGCGAGAAATGCCCGACAAGTTCCTGACTCTCCAGCGAAGCGTTCTGGGGGAGGTAAGCGGGGTTCTCGGGAAACCGGGGTGGCCGGGGAGGCCACACTGCTAATAGCTGGGTTACTGAGGGGCTGGGAGGTTATCGTCGTGGTAGGCTGCCTAACAGACAACCCGCGGAATTGCTCCAGCAATGTGTTAAATGCCCTTCCATGAGACCACGAAGCAACTCCTTTTGCCTTCCAATGATGGCTCCTTGGGAGGAGATGGCGTTGCGGAGCTGGTCCGAGTCTGCCTTTGTCAGTCATGGCCAGTTCGTACTATCATGTTTCAGGAGAATACCCAGATGCAGACAGTGTCAAAGTAACAAAGGTTTATTACAAAAACAGGGGGCAGGCAAACGACAGGTCAAGGGCAGGCAGAGGTCAGTAACCCAGATCAGAGTCCAAAAGGTACAGAATGGCAGGCAAGCTCAGGGTCAGGGCAGGCAGAATGGTCAAAACTAGAAAACAGGAACTTGAGAAAGACAGGAGCAAGGGGAAAAACGCTGGTAGGCTTGACGAAACAAAACGAACTGGCAACAGACAAACAGAGAATACAGATGGGGAAGATGGGCAACACCTGGATGGGGGTGGAGACAATCACAAAGACAGGTGAAACAGATCAGGGTGTGACAATTACATTTTGACCAATAGGAAAGTTGACATGATGACTGGTAATGAGCCAAGCCTTCATATTTATACCATGAGCCAGAGACCTTACCTGTCACAATAAACCTGTCCTCACCTGTCAAACTAAAACCAGTCCTACCAGTACAAATATTTTATGACTAAGGCTATCTCTTAATTCATCTTTCCTTGATTCCTCACATTCTCTCTCCTCGCCTCCTTCCTCAAAACTCCATTTGGAATGACCCTGCTGTTTTCTATCTCTCCAGGTGGGTCTGATGAGGAATGGCCGACTGTTGGCCGAGGGGGAACCAGAAACCTTGATGAAACAGAACAGTGCTGCAGTGAGTAGCTAACAACATTGTATACTATTTACTTTTACGAAGATTCTGTACATTTCTCACTTTATTCAGACAGTTGGAAACAGAGGGGTGAGACAGGGGGACAGGCAAGCGGGAGTACAGGAGGAAGGGTGGAAGCGGGGATTGAACGGCGGTATATATTAGAGTATATTATATGTGACTGATGCCAGGAGTGTCACCACTAGACAACCGGCTCTGCAGGCAGTAGCCCTACATTGACCCTATTGCTTCCCCTACCATCCACCCACCCACTGCAGACTCTGGAGAAAGCTTTCCTACAGCTGTGTGAGATGTCTGACTGTTGACTGCTTTCCCAGTAGGCAAAATTATATTGAAAAGACGTCTAAAAAAACGTATTTTCCAGACGTTAAAGCTTTGTTCATTTTAGGTTCTGAATGAAAGGTGAAAATACATATTTTCCGGACTTTTAAAATACGTATTTTCCGGACGCTGAAAAGTCTTATTTTCCGGAAGTGGAATTCGGGTTCATTTTCGGTTCTAAATTAAAGTTGAAAATATGTATTTCCGGATGTTGAAAATACGTATTATCCGGACGTTGAAAATATGTATTTTCCGGACAGTTCTGAATGAGTTGAAGAAACGTAATTTTGGTCATTGATTTAAACTGCACATACTGTACATTCTCAATTAAGTTAGCATTATACCAGAATAATACTTTTGTTATCCATTTAATGTAAGAAAGAGGAGCCAACTGAAGATGGCAACATAGAATATTTCTTATTGCTCCAATCTGTCATGGTCACTTATGTTAGCTTTTTCAAAAGCTTTAAAACTGGCAGCAATGACATTTCAAAGTAGTCCAACAAATGGAATAAAGCAACAGACCACTTCGACTACAATAACATTCTCAGTAACGGTTACATAAATGTTTTTTTTCTTGCTATGACTTTGATATGTTGTTGTTTATCTACCATAGTTGAATGCACTGACTGTAAGTCACCCTGGATAAGAGCGTCTGCTGAATGACCAAAATGTTCATGTTAATGTTAATTATTCTAATGCACTCCGCCCCAAAAGAAGTACACATTTGGTTGGTCCGGACCAGACAAATCATAGACGTCTAGGCTATGTTTCAAAAGTTTGAACAGCACAGTACAGTATGGCACAGTTCAGTACAGTAGAGCACAGTACAGTACGGTACGGAGTACAGTAGTCTAATTCAGTACAGTAGAGTACAGTACAGTTTAATTCAGTAGAGTAGAGCACAGTACAGTTTAATTCAGTACAGTAGAGTACAGTACAGTTTAATTCAGTAGAGTACAGTAGTTTAATTCAGTACAGTAGAGTACAGTACAGTACGGTATGGAGTACAGTAGTTTAATTCAGTACAGTAGAGTACAGTACAGTACGGTATGGAGTACAGTAGTTTAATTCAGTACAGTAGAGTACAGTACAGTTTAATTCAGTAGAGTACAGTAGTTTAATTCAGTACAGTAGAGCACAGTACAGTACAGTATGGAGTACAGTAGTTTAATTCAGTACAGTAGAGTACAGTACAGTTTAATTCAGTAGAGTACAGTAGTTTAATTCAATACAGTAGAGTACAGTACAGTTTAATTCAGTAGAGTACAGTAGTTTAATTCAGTACAGTAGAGTACAGTACAGTTTAATTCAGTAGAGTACAGTAGTTTAATTCAGTACAGTAGAGTACAGTACAGTTTAATTCAGTAGAGTACAGTAGTTTAATTCAGTACAGTAGAGTACAGTACAGTTTAATTCAGTAGAGTACAGTTTAATTCAGTACAGTAGAGAACAGTCTAATTCAGGAGAGTAGAGTACAGTACAGTTTAATTCAGTACAGTAGAGTACAGTACAGTTTAATTCAGTAGAGTACAGTAGTTTCATTCAGAAGAGTACAGTAGTTTCATTCAGTAGAGTACAGTAGTTTCATTCAGTACAGTAGAGTACAGTAGAGTTTAATTCAGTACAGTAGAGTACAGTTTAATTCAGTAGAGTACAGTAGTTTAATTCAGTACAGTAGAGTACAGTACAGTTTAATTCAGTACAGTACAGTACTGTGCTCTACTGTACTAAACGACTTTTCTTTCATGTACTGTACTCTGCTGTGTAAAATGTACTGTACTCTGTTGTGCTATACTGTACTGTAAAGTACTGTACTCTGCTGTGCTCTACTGTACTGTAAAGTACTTTACTCTGCTGTGCTTAACTGTACTGCGCTATCCAAACTAGTAAAACATAGATGTCTATGATTGGTTCAGATTTGGTCCGGTCCAAACCTGTCCAAAAATGAATGTCCGTGGACGTTGAAATCAAGGCCGGTCTGGACAGCACAAAAAAAGACGACTTAGTTGGTTCTGTGTTGACCACTTACAGTGAGGGGGAAAAAGTATTTGATCCCCTGCTGATTTTGTACGTTTGCCCACTGACAAAGACATGATCAGTCTATAATTTTAATGGTAGGTTTATTTCAACAGTGAGATACAGAATAACAACAACAAAATCCAGAAAAACGCATGTCAAAAATGTTATAAATTGATTTGCATTTTAATGAGGGAAATAAGTATTTGACCCCTCTGCAAAACATGACTTAGTACTTGGTGGCAAAACCCTTGTTGGCAATCACAGAGGTCAGACGTTTCTTGTAGTTGGCCACCATGATGCACACATCTCAGGAGGGATTTTGTTCCACTCCTCTTTGCAGATCTTCTCCAAGTCATTAAGGTTTCGAGGCTGACGTTTGGCAACTCGAACCTTCAGCTCCCTCCACAGATTTTCTGGCTAGGCCACTCCAGGGCCTTAATGTGCTTCTTCTTGAGCCACTCCTTTGTTGCCTTGGCCGTGTGTTTTGGGTCATTGTCATGCTGGAATACCCATCCACAACCCATTTTCAATGCCCTGGCTAAGGGAAGGAGGTTTTCACCCAAGATTTGACGGTACATGGCCCCGTCCATCGTCCCCTTGATGCGGTGAAGTTGTCCTGTCCCCTTAGCAGAAAAACACCCCCAAAGCATAATGTTTCCACCTCCATGTTTGACGGTGGGGATGGTGTTCTTGGGGTCATAGGCAGCATTCCTCCTCCTCCAAACACGGCGAGTTGAGTTGATGCCAAAGAGCTTGATTTTGGTCTGATCTGACCACAACACTTTCACCCAGTTCTCCTCTGAATCATTCAGATGTTCATTGGCAAACTTCAGACGGCCCTGTGTATGTGCTTTCTTGGTCAGGGGGACCTTGCGGGCGCTGCAGGATTTCAGTCCTTCACGGCATAGTGTGTTACCAATTGTTTTCTTGGTGACTATGGTCCCAGCTGCCTTGAGATCATTGACAAGATCCTTCCGTGTAGTTCTGGGCTGATTCCTCACCGTTCTCATGATCATTGCAACTCCACGAGGTGAGATCTTGCATGGAGCCCCAGGCCGAGGGAGATTGACAGTTCTTTTGTGTTTCTTCCATTTGCGAATAATCGCACCAACTGTTGTCACCTTCTCACCAAGCTGCTTGGCGATGGTCTTGTAGCCCATTCCAGCCTTGTGTAGGTCTACAATCTTGTCCCTGACATCCTTGGAGAGCTCTTTGGTCTTGGCCATGGTGGAGAGTTTGGAATCTGATTGATTGATTGCTTCTGTGGACAGGTGTCTTTTAAACAGGTAACAAGCTGAGATTAAGAGCTCTCCCTTTAAGAGTGTGCTCCTAATCTCAGCTCGTTACCTGTATAAAAGACACCTGGGAGCCAGAAATCTTTCTGATTGAGCGGGGGTCAAATACTTATTTCCCTCATTAAAATGCAAATCAATTTATAACATTTTTTACATGTGTTTTTCTGGATTTTTGTTGTTGTTATTCTGTCTCTCACTGTTCAAATAAACCTACCATTAAAATTATAGACTGATCATTTCTTTGTCAGTGGGCAAATGTACAAAATCAGCAGGGGATCAAATACTTTTTTCCCTCACTGTATCATATCAACCCTTGACTGTGTTATAAGTGTGTGTTGTTCAACTGACTGTGTTGTCTATCTCCCCTGCTGCCCCATCCACCCACTGCAGACCCTGGAGAAAGCCTTCCTGCAGCTGTGTGAGACCTCAGACCAGGTGAGCTCCAAACACTGCACCTACCCTCAGGGCGGGGTTCTAGAGAGCAGCCAATCACTCGAGGGCGGCCCGGAAGAGAGTCTGCCAATCCTGGGTGTCGGGCCGGGACCAGTAGAAGAGCTGCCCAAATACTCAGGTAAATGTAGGATTGCAATATTCCGGAAACTTTCTCGATAATTCCTAGGTTTTCCGGAAATCCCAGTTGGAGGATTTCAGGATTCCTGGTTGGAGGATTCCCTCCTAGCTTACTCTCTTCTGATTACGGAAATCATGATGACATTGGATAATTTGACTTTTCTCTGGAAACTGATACCATAACTACAGTGTTTCAGCTATTGTCTTTGATTTCCTAAGATATTTGATACTGTGTGTGTGTGTGTGTGTGTGTGTGTGTTGGGTTTTACTATCCTTGTCAGGACCAGAAGTCCTCACAAGGATAGTAAAACAAGGAACATTTGGACAAGTGGAGACATTTCGTCAGTAAAAAGGCTATTTTAGGGGTTAGGTTTAGGGTTACAATTAGGGTTAGGGTTAGAACTAGGGTTAGCGGTTAGGAGTTAGGGTTGGGTTAGGGGTTAGGGGTTTTGGGTTCAGGTAAGGGTTAGGTTAAGGGTTAGGGTTAGGGAAAATAGGATTTTGAATGGGAATCAATTGTTTGTTCCCCACAAGGATAGTAAAACAAACGTGTGTGTGTGTGTGTGTGTGTGTGTGTGTGTGTGTGTGTGTGTAGCGGACTGGAAGGTACGAGTCAGGCATGTGATGCCAAAGTGGAGGAACATCGCAGCTCTGATTATCAAGACCACGGTGAGGATGAAGAGGATGCCCGGGTGAGGAGGATGATGAGGATGAGGATTCATTAAAGGATTAGAATGAGCTGGAGGAAGGCAGACAGGATGATGATGAGGATGATGATCCCGGAATCTTCCAACCACAATTTCTGGAATACCTGGGAATTCTGGGAAAAGTTGGCAGAATTTTGCAAACCTAGTCTGATTGCATTGTATCTGTCCAGGTCCCTGTTTTTCCAGTTCCTGCTGCCAGTCATGCAGATCTCTCTGATGTGTCTGTGTATCGGAGGAGACCCCAAAGGAATACAGGTGGCTGTGGTCAACAATGAGACCTCCTCCAGCTCCTTCAGCCAATCCCTGCTCTCCTTCCTGGACAACTCAAGCGTGCAACAGGTACTGGACCAATCGGTTGTTAGTTAGTCAGAGAGACTTAGGATCAGCTTCCCCTCTCCCAATACTAATTAAAACCAAAAAAAATCTATGTTGTGTGTTTAGTTATTACAGTACGGTGAAACAGTTTGAGTAGATGGCATATGGCACAGGGTCTTCTATCTACCACACTGGAGTCCTGGTCAGATGTAGTGCACTAGATGGACCCAATAGGGTGTAATTTAAGACCTAGCCATAGTCACTGAGGGTGTCCCCTGTCCCTCCCTGCCCTAGGTGAACCTGTCCCATAGTCACTGAGGGAGTCCCCTGTCCCTCCCTGCCCTAGGTGAACCTGTCCCATAGTCACTGAGGGTGTCCCCTGTCCCTCCCTGCCCTAGTTAAACCTGTCCCATAGTCACTGAGGGTGTCCCCTGTCCCTCCCTGCCCTAGGTGAACCTGTCCCATAGTCACTGAGGGTGTCCACTGTCCCTCCCTGCCCTAGGTGAACCTGTCCCATAGTCACTGAGGGTGTCCCCTGTCCCTCCCTGCCCTAGGTGAACCTGTCCCACGCCGAGGCTTTTGCAGGGGCCTATAACGGAGAGTACTGGGGCGTCATCGGGTTTGGAAAGAATTTCACCAGCTACCTGACCAAGAGGTGAGCCCTACCTCTGGACCTGTCTCTTGTCTTGTCTCATCTTCTCCCCTTGTTCTTCTGTTCTGTTCTCCTCTCTTCTGTTCTCCTCTCTTCTGTTCTCTTCTGTTCTGTTCTCTTCAGTTCTGTTCTAATTTGTTCTCTTGTTCTCCTCTCCTCTTACCTCTTCTATCTCTTCTCTTAAATCACTGTCCATGACGTGTGATGCTGTTGAACCTTAAGGCCACCAGTGTCTAGATTCTTCCCTAGAGCTTAATGGGAACCTGTGCACCTTCCAGCTGCCAATGTGACAAAGCATTCCACTGTCTTGCACACACACACGGACACACACACGGACACACGGACACACACACACACGGACACACACACAGTGATGTAAACAAGGCATCTAACATGTGATGATGACTATCTGTGGTGAGGAAGGGTACAGTAATATATCTTCAGGAGCCAATCACAGCACTACAGTCACCAGTATGTCTGTCTGTGTCAGTGTGTATCTGCATGCATGCCTCTACACGTGTGTGTGCGCGCGTGCACGTGTGTGTGCGCGCGTGCACGTGTGTGTCTTACATCAGCCGTGAAGTGGAAAGTCTGGTCTTGCCTGTCGATCAGGGTCACACACACCTAGCTAGCTTACTGCATGCACACACACACACACACACACACACACACACAGTCTTGTACAACTAACCTTGTGGGGACACACAATTCAGTCCCATTCAAAATCCTATTTTTCCCTAACCCCTTACACTAAACCTAACCCTAACCCTAACCTTAACCCGAAAACCTAACCTTAACCCTAAACCTTACCCAAGCTTCTAACCTTGAAACTAACCCCAGCTCCTAACCCTAACCCTAAACCTAATTCTAACCCTAACACTAATTCTAACCTTAACCCTAAACCCCCTAGAAATAGCATTTGACCTTGTCGGGACTAACAAAATGTCCCCAGTTGGACAAATGTTTGTTTGTTTACTATTCTTGTGGGGACTTCTGGTCCCCCACAAGTATAGTTAAACACATCCACACACACACACACACACACACACACACACACACACACACACACACACACACACACACACACACACACACACACACACAGTGTTCTGTATCATGTCTCTGTGGTGTGTGTTGTATTGTACAGGATCCTTACTGGATCATGTCTCTGTTCTGTGGTGTGTGTTGTATTGTGCAGGATGATCCAGCGCCAGGTCTCTAAGGAGGTAGTGGATGGAGGGTCGGCGCACGTCTGGCTGGACCTGACCAGTAAGCTCTCACTCCGCAGTCTGCATTAAAGGACTATTGGCATGTAAAAGTGTTCCAGAATGTACCTTCAAATAGAGTAGAATACAATACTGATAGAATAGAATAGAATACTGATAGAATAGAATAGAATAGAATGCTGATAGAATAGAATAGAACACTGTTAGAATAGAATACAATAGAATGCTGATAGAATAGAACACGGTTAGAATAGAATAGAACACTGTTAGAATAGAATAGAACACTGTTAGAATAGAATAGAACAATGTTAGAATAGAATAGAACACTGTTAGAATAGAATAGAACACTGTTAGAATAGAATAGAATGCTGATAGAATAGAATAGAATAGAACACTGTTAGAATAGAATAGAATGCTGATAGAATAGAATAGAACACTGTTAGAATAGAATAGAATGCTGATAGAATAGAATAGAATAGAACACTGTTAGAATATAATAGAATAGAACACTGATAGAATAGAATAGAATAGAATGCTGATAGAATAGAATAGAACACTGTTAGAATAGAATATAATAGAATGCTGATAGAATAGAACACTGTTAGAATAGAATAGAACACTGTTAGAATAGAATGCTGATAGAATAGAATAGAACACTGTTAGAATAGAATAGAACACTGTTAGAATAGAATAGAACACTGTTAGAATATAATAGAATGCTGATAGAATAGAATAGAATAGAACACTGTTAGAATAGAATAGAATGCTGATAGAATAGAATAGAACACTGTTAGAATAGAATAGAATGCTGATAGAATAGAATAGAATAGAGCACTGTTAGAATATAATAGAATAGAATGCTGATAGAATAGAATAGAATAGAATAGAACACTGTTAGAATAGAATGCTGATAGAATAGAATAGAATAGAACAATGTTAGAATAGAATGCTGATAGAATAGAATAGAATAGAACACTGTTAGAATAGAATAGAATAGAATGCTGATAGAATAGAACACTGTTAGAATAGAATAGAATAGAATGCTGATAGAATAGAATAGATAGTTTGGCTGTGAAATTGACCACTAGGTGGTAGTGTAACTGTTTTACAATACTGTGTGGGTCTTCTGAATGATGGCTCATCTCCCAAATGATGGAAATGGCTTTTGAATGCTTTTCAGAGTAGATGATTGATTGGTTTTATTCCATATACTGTAAATGTTCAAATCAATTAAATGGATCAAACATTTTTCAAGTGATGATAGTTAGACTTATGGTGACATTGTTTTAACCTTTTAATGTATTTTCTACAGATCGACAAATCGCCTTAATGCTTCAGAAAAAAATTCACGATGCCTTTGAGGTACACCAGAGTTCCCTTTTCTTTATCTTGTTATTAGATGACAAATGATAATGTTTTAGATGAGTTATTTGACTTTGAGTGTTAGTGTTATTATTTCTATGGCTTCTGCCTCTCTGTTCCCTCCTCAGGGTTTCGTCCAGAATAAGATGGGTAGCAAGTCTTACCTGCTCTCTCTTCCTGTCAAGGTATGACAATCCCCTTAAAACCCTGCTGCGTCCCAAATGGTCCATAGGGCTGTGGTCAAAAGTAGTGTCCTATGTAGGATATAGGGTGCCATTTGGGATGCAGACCCTATGTTGATAGTATTTTGCCATCCACATCCACTAGCCTTGCTAGTTTCTGATATAGACAAGTTGTTGTCTTCCCAAGACCACAATGTAACCAGTATTGTTGAATGTATATGTTTTATCCATTCCTGATGAATACACAGATGTACTGTGCATAGGGAGAAAATATTTCACTCACTATTTCTGTGTCACATTTCTCATTTTTGAACACCTTTTGCTCACTATTTCTCTTTGTCACGTTTCTCTTTCCAGTTTGAGGAGCCCATCTATGGCAGCCTGAACTCAGACTTCACCACGTTTGTGACACCAGGAGCCGTTCTGAGGTAGAGATTCAGTCCACGTCTGAACCTAGTCAGCATTACTGAGACAAAGATGATAACCTGTTAAGATAATGTATGTCATGGTTTCCCTCCTCTCTCTCTCTCTCTCTTTCTTTTTTTCTCGTCTTCTTTTTCTTTCTCGGGCATTTCCGCTCTCTACTGAGAGAGCGAGAGATGACAGAGATAGCCCTTCGCGAGAGAATCTGCTATCTATTCGCTTAATCTGCTCGTCTCGTCTGATCGTCTTCTCTCTTCTGTCTCCCTGGCGCGTGCGCTGCGGCATCTCGCTAGGAAGAAATCTAATTTTGTCTCTCTCAATTACCTTTCTCGACCTCTCTGCAAGGAGAGTCGCGCTATCATCTCCCCTCCCTCCTCATATCTCTTCCACTCAATTCTTATCTCCGCTTCTCTCCTCCCTTCTCTCTCTCTCTCCCCTCCCCTATTCTTCTCTCTCTCTCCCCCCCCTCCCTTCTTATCTCTCTCCCCCTCCCTCCCTTCTCTCTCTACACAGCATCACTTTCTACCTGGCAGTGGGCTTGACTGCTCTGTCCTTCGTGATCGAGAGGAAGGAGGGGCTAATGGAAAGGTGCTGGGTCTCAGGTAAGAGGTTAAAGTTCACACAGCGGGTAACAAAATGGCACCCCTTTTCCCTATTTAGTGCACAAATTCTGACCATGCCGAAGCGTCCCAAATGGCCTACTTTTCACCAGGGTTGAGGCGTCACAAATAGCACCCTATAGAGGGCTTGCAAGTACTAGACATACTACAGTACTTGACTAGACATCAGGATAGATAATAATAAGGTATTTGAGATAGATATGTACATGAAGGCAGGTGACTAGACATCAGGATAGATAATAATAAGGTATTTGAGATAGATATGTACATGAAGGCAGGTGACTAGACATCAGGATAGATAATAATAAGGTATTTGAGGTAGATATGTACATGAAGGCAGATGACTAGACATCAGGATAGATAATAAAAAGATATTTGAGGTAGATATGTACATGAAGGCAGGTGAGTAGACATCAGGATAGATAAAATAAGGTTTTTGAGATAGATATGTACATGAAGGCAGGTGACTAGACATCAGGATAGATAATAATAAGGTATTTGAGGTAGATACAGTGGGGAGATTTGATACACTGCCGATTTTGCAGGTTTTCCTACTTACAAAGCAGGTCTGTAATTTTTATCATAGGTACACTTCAACTGTGAGAGACGGAATCTAAAACAAAAATCTAGAAAATCACATTGTATGATTTTTAAGTAATTCATTTGCATTTTATTGCATGACATAAGTATTTGATCACCTACCAACCAGTAAGAATTCCGGCTCTCACAGACCTGTTAGTTTTTCTTTAAGAAGCCCTCCTGTTCTCCACTCATTACCTGTATTAACTGCACCTGTTTGAACTCGTTACCTTTATAAAAGACACCTGTCCACACACTCAATCAAACAGACACCAACCTCTCCATAATGGCCAAGACCAGAGAGCTGTGTAAGGACATCAGGGATAAAATTGTAGACCTGCACAAGGCTGGGATGGGCTACAGGACAATAGGCAAGCAGCTTGATGAGAAGGCAACAACTGTTGGTGCAATTATTAGAAAATGGAAGAAGTTCAAGATGACGGTCAATCATCCTCGGTCTGGGGCTCCATGCAAGATCTCACCTCGTGGGGCATCAATGATCATGAGGAAGAAGAAGGATGAGTACAACCCCAAGAACACCATCCCAACTGTGAAGCATGGAGGTGGAAACATCATTCTTTGGGGATGCTTTTCTGCAAAGGGGACAGGACGACTGCACCGTATTGAGGGGAGGATGGATGGGGCCATGTATCGCGAGATCTTGGCCAACAACCTCCTTCCCTCAGTAAGAGCATTGAAGATGGGTCGTGGCTGGGTCTTCCAGCATGACAACGACCCAAAACACACAGCCAGGGCAACTAAGGAGTGGCTCCGTAAGAAGCATCTCAAGGTCCTGGAGTGGCCTAGCCAGTCTCCAGACCTGAACCCAATAGAAAATATTTGGAGGGAGCTGAAAGTCTGTATTGCCCAGCGACAGCCCCGAAACCTGAAGGATCTAGAGAAGGTCTGTATGGAGGAGTGGGCCAAAATCCCTGCTACAGTGTGTGCAAACCTGGTCAAGACCTACAGGAAACGTATGATCTCTGTAATTGCAAACAAAGGTTTCTGTTCTGCTTTTCTGATGTATCAAATACTTATGTCATGCAATAAAATGCAAATTAATTACTTAAAAATCATACAATGTGATTTTCTGGATTTTTGTTTTAGATTCCGTCTCTCACAGTTGAAGTGTACCTATGATAAAAATTACAGACCTCTATATGCTTTGTAAGTAGGAAAACCTGCAAAATCGGCAGTGTATCAAATACTTGTTCTCCCCACTGTATGTACATGAAGGCAGGTGACTAGACATCAGGATATATAATAATAAGAGTAAAACCAGAGCAGCAGCAGCAAATAAGTGTGTGTTTGTCTGTGTGTTTGTGTCGGTATGTGTTGTGTGTTGTATGTTATGTGTTGTGTGTTGTGTGCGTATGTAGTGTATGGGGGTTTTGTGTGGGAGTGTCAATGTAGTGTGTGTGAGTGAGTGTGTATATATACAGTATAGTCTAGTGAGTGTGTATATATACAGTATAGTCTAGTGAGTGTATATATACAGTATAGTCTAGTGAGTGTGTATATATACAGTATAGTCTAGTGAGTGTGTATATATACAGTATAGTCTAGTGAGTGTGTATATACAGTATAGTCTAGTGAGTGTATATATACAGTATAGTCTAGTGAGTGTATATATACAGTATAGTCTAGTGAGTGTGTATATATACAGTATAGTCTAGTGAGTGTGTATATATACAGTATAGTCTAGTGAGTGTGTATATACAGTATAGTCTAGTGAGTGTATATATACAGTATAGTCTAGTGAGTGTATATATACAGTATAGTCTAGTGAGTGTGTATATACAGTATAGTCTAGTGAGTGTGTATATACAGTATAGTCTAGTGAGTGTGTATATATACAGTATAGTCTAGTGAGTGTATATATACAGTATAGTCTAGTGAGTGTGTATATATACAGTATAGTCTAGTGAGTGTGTATATATACAGTATAGTCTAGTGAGTGTGTATATACAGTATAGTCTAGTGAGTGTATATATACAGTATAGTCTAGTGAGTGTATATATACAGTATAGTCTAGTGAGTGTGTATATACAGTATAGTCTAGTGAGTGTGTATATACAGTATAGTCTAGTGAGTGTATATATATACAGTATAGTCTAGTGAGTGTATATATACAGTATAGTCTAGTGAGTGTGTATATACAGTATAGTCTAGTGAGTGTATATATACAGTATAGTCTAGTGAGTGTGTATATATACAGTATAGTCTAGTGAGTGTGTATATACAGTATAGTCTAGTGAGTGTATATATACAGTATAGTCTAGTGAGTGTATATATACAGTATAGTCTAGTGAGTGTGTATATATACAGTATAGTCTAGTGAGTGTATATATACAGTATAGTCTAGTGAGTGTATATATACAGTATAGTCTAGTGAGTGTGTATATATACAGGATAGTCTAGTGAGTGTGTATATACAGTATAGTCTAGTGAGTGTGTATATATACAGTATAGTCTAGTGAGTGTGTATATACAGTATAGTCTAGTGAGTGTGTACAGTGGGGAAAAAAAGTATTTAGTCAGCCACCAATTGTGCAAGTTCTCCCACTTAAAAAGATGAGAGAGGCCTGTAATTTTCATCATAGGTACACGTCAACTATGACAGACAAAATGAGGGAAAAAAATCCAGAAAATCACATTGTAGGATTTTTTATGAATTTATTTGCAAATTATGGTGGAAAATAAGTATTTGGTCAATAACAAAAGTTTCTCAATACTTTGTTATATACCCTTTGTTGGCAATGACACAGGTCAAACGTTTTCTGTAAGTCTTCACAAGGTTTTCACACACTGTTGCTGGTATTTTGGCCCATTCCTGCATGCAGATCTCCTCTAGAGCAGTGATGTTTTGGGGCTGTCGCTGGGCAACACAGACTTTCAACTCCCTCCAAAGATTTTCTATGGGGTTGAGATCTGGAGACTGGCTAGGCCACTCCAGGACCTTGAAATGCTTCTTACGAAGCCACTCCTTCGTTGCCCGGGCGGTGTGTTTGGGATCATTGTCATGCTGAAAGACCCAGCCACGTTTCATCTCCAATGCCCTTGCTGATGGAAGGAGGTTTTCACTCAAAATCTCACGATACATGGCCCCATTCATTCTTTCCTTTACACGGATCAGTCGTCCTGGTCCCTTTGCAGAAAAACAGCCCCAAAGCATGATGTTTCCACCCTCATGCTTCACAGTAGGTATGGTGTTCTTTGGATGCAACTCAGCATTCTTTGTCCTCCAAACACGACGAGTTGAGTTTTTACCAAAAAGTTCTATTTTGGTTTCATCTGACCATATGACATTCTCCCAATCCTCTTCTGGATCATCCAAATGCACTCTTGCAAACTTCAGACGGGCCTGGACATGTACTGGCTTAAGCAGGGGGACACGTCTTGCACTGCAGGATTTGAGTCCCTGGCGGCGTAGTGTGTTACTGATGGTAGGCTTTGTTACTTTGGTCCCAGCTCTCTGCAGGTCATTCACTAGGTCCCCCCGTGTGGTTCTGGGATTTTTGCTCACCGTTCTTGTGATCATTTTGACCCCACGGGGTGAGATCTTGCGTGGAGCCCCAGATCGAGGGAGATTATCAGTGGTCTTTTATGTCTTCCATTTTCTAATAATTGCTCCCACAGTTGATTTCTTCAAACCAAGCTGCTTACCTATTGCAGATTCAGTCTTCCCAGGCTCGTGCAGGTCTACAATTTTGTTTCTGGTGTCCTTTGACAGCTCTTTGGTCTTGGCCATAGTGGAGTTTGGAGTGTGACTGTTTGAGGTTGTGGACAGGTGTCTTTTATACTGATAGCAAGTTCAAACAGGTGCCATTAATACAGGTAACGAGTGGAGGACAGAGGAGCCTCTTAAAGAAGAAGTTACAGGTCTGTGACCGCCAGAAATCTTGCTTGTTTGTAGGTGACCAAATACTTATTTTCCACCATAATTTGCAAATAAATTCATAAAAAATCCTACAATGTGATTTTCTGGATTTTTTTCCTCAATTTGTCTGTCATAGTTGACGTGTACCTATGATGAAAATTACAGGCCTCTCTCATCTTTTTAAGTGGGAGAACTTGCACAATTGTTGGCTGACTAAATACTTTTTTTCCCCACTGTATATATACAGTATAGTCTAGTGAGTGTGTATATACAGTATAGTCTAGTGAGTGTATATATACAGTATAGTCTAGTGAGTGTGTATATATACAGTATAGTCTAGTGAGTGTATATATACAGTATAGTCTAGTGAGTGTATATATATACAGTATAGTCTAGTGAGTGTGTATATATACAGTATAGTCTAGTGAGTGTGTATATACAGTATAGTCTAGTGAGTGTATATACAGTATAGTCTAGTGAGTGTATATATACAGTATAGTCTAGTGAGTGTGTATATATACAGTATAGTCTAGTGAGTGTGTATATATATACAGTATAGTCTAGTGAGTGTGTGTATATACAGTATAGTCTAGTGAGTGTGTGTATATACAGTATAGTCTAGTGAGTGTGTGTATATACAGTATAGTCTAGTGAGTGTGTATATATACAGTATAGTCTAGTGAGTGTGTATATATACAGTATAGTCTAGTGAGTGTGTATATACAGTATAGTCTAGTGAGTGTGTATATACAGTATAGTCTAGTGAGTGTATATATACAGTATAGTCTAGTGAGTGTGTATATATACAGTATAGTCTAGTGAGTGTGTATATATACAGTATAGTCTAGTGAGTGTGTATATACAGTATAGTCTAGTGAGTGTATATATACAGTATAGTCTAGTGAGTGTGTATATACAGTATAGTCTAGTGAGTGTGTATATATACAGTATAGTCTAGTGAGTGTGTATATATACAGTATAGTCTAGTGAGTGTGTATATATACAGTATAGTCTAGTGAGTGTATATATATACAGTATAGTCTAGTGAATGTATATATACAGTATAGTCTAGTGAGTGTGTATATACAGTATAGTCTAGTGAGTGTATATATACAGTATAGTCTAGTGAGTGTATATATAAAGTATAGT